CAGGGTCCTGGGATCGAGTCCTGCGTCGGGCTCTCTGCTCAGCGGGGAACTTGCTTCCCTCTCTCTCTCTCTCTCTCTCTGCCTGCCTCTCCATCTACTTGTGCTCTCTCTCTGTCAAATAAATAAATAAAATCTTAAAAAAATTAAAAAAAAAGTATTTCTTTTATTGTTTATCTAATAGCTTTTGTTACTGTCTTTCTGTACTTGATGTTTTTGTTGCCTGGATGTGGATTTAGCCAGGAAAACCAGTTCTGTGTTCTACTATGTTCATGTATGAAGAGCAAGATATTTGGTATGCCTTTTCTCCAAAGTTAGCTTCATTTAGAGGAGTATATTTAGAAAGAATTCTTAAAATGTGAAAGTGTCACACTTATAGAAGTTATTATATCACTTTATGAGTAATTTTTTATCATAGAAAATTAAATTAGAACATCACATTTAAATTATTATGGATTATTCTTTTAGAATTTTTTATGTTATTTTGATCTCTTTATGGAAAAATGATTTATAGGATGGTTAAGTTTGTGCATTGCTTTGATTTGATTAAAAAAATCTTTTGTAGCATTTTGAAGCATTGGCTAATCGAGCTGCTGCGACTGGTCATGTTATCGATATCTATGCATGTGCGTTAGATCAGACAGGTCTCCTGGAGATGAAATGCTGTCCCAACCTTACTGGGTATGTATTTACAGTGTTTACGGTTTTTGCAGTTATAGACTGATAAATTACAATTTACAAAAATAAACCAATAATGACAGTTTAGGAAAAAGAGTCATCATCCTGCCACTCCAGGACAACTATTAACAGTTTTTGATACTCCTTTCAGTAAAGCTCACTTTAAATTTTTTCTGAAATTCAGTTATAAAGGCACAAGTTCTGTTTGAAAAGCTGTCTTGATATTGTGCATTGTTTTATTATTGTAGCAGCTTTTTTTTTTTTTTAAATATTTTATTTATTTATTTGACATACAGATATCACAAGTAGGCAGAGAGGCAGGCAGGGTGGGGGGGGGAAGCAGGCTCCCCACCAAGCGGAGAGCCCGACGCAAGACTCGATTCCAGGACCCTGAGATCATGACCTGAGCTGAAGGCAGAGGCCCAACCCAGTGAGCCAACCAGGCCCCCTGTAGTAGCTTTTTGAGATATAATTCACACACCATAAAATTTCCTGTTTAAAGCTTACAATTTAATGTTTTGTTTTTGGTTATTTACAGGTCAAGCAACCATCATCAAGTTTTGTTTTAGAACATTATGCTACCCCAGAAAGTGGCTCTGTACCCATTAGCAGTCATTTCCCTTTCAGGCTTCTTTGTTCCCTGCCCCCACCCCCCCACCCCCCTGCCGCCCCTCAGCCTGGACCACTAATCTACTCTCTGTCTATAGATTTGCCTGTTCTTGATCTTAGGGGGAAACTATTTCATCTTTCACCGTTAAGTGTGATGTTAGCTGTGGGGCTTTGTAGATATGTTTATCAGGTTGAAGAATTTTCTGTCCTTAGTTGAGATTTTTTTCATCAAGGGTGTTAGATTTGTAGCTGGAGTGGGGTAAGTGAGGACAGATTGTGAGGGTCTTTTGACTGTTGTAAGGGTTCAGATTTTACTTTGAGTGAGATGCAAAGTCATTAGAGAGTTTTCAGTTGAGATGTCATACGATCTGATGTAATGTTTTAAAGGGACCATTTGACTTCAGCTGTCTACAGTAGAGATATATAGGGATACAGGAATACCAAGTGGTGGCTGAGAAGTAGTTGGATTTTGGGTATATTTAGAAGTAGAAGATTTGCTGATAGGTTGGATCTGGGGTTTGGGAAAATCAGAGGGAGTGTACTGGAAGGATTGCCTTTTGTTGAATAAGACTGTGGAAAGAAGAGTATTTGGGGAGAAGATTGGGAGTTCAGTTTGAATATGTTTGGTTTCAGATGCCATTTGACATCCATGAGGAGGTATTGAGTAGGCAATCAGATATTACAACATAGAGTGCAGGAGATAGGTCTGGGCTGGAGATAAAAATGTGGGAACTGTCAGAATTTTGGTGTTTCTTTTTTTTAAAATAGCAATAAAAATGGAAGGGTTGTAAGATTTTGCAATTTAACACCACAAAGATCATTGGTGACCTTCCTAAGAGCAGTGAAAGTTGACTTAGAGTGAACTAGAATAGGAAGACGGGATTGGTAACAGCTGGTATAGATTACAACTTTTCTAACTTTCACATATGTAGGTCAGCTGGGTATCTTGTTAAAGTACAGATTCTGGATTTACTGTGTGTGGGTTGAGACTTGGAATTCTTTTCATACAAAATCCTTGGTGATGCCAATATTGCTGGACCAGGGGCCACACTGAGTAGTTAAAGGTATAGATAGCTCTTTTGTAGTGGTTTGCTGTAAAGGGGGAAAAATTAGTGGGGTGGTATAAATTGTCCTTAATGTATTATGCATTCCCAGGTTTAGTGATAACAGAACATCAGAGATGGACATGTTTGTTGAAATAGAAAGTCTGAAAGAATTTATATACTGCTATTAGAATTAAAATGTTAAGTTGTTAAGACTTCTAGATAAAGGTCAGCATACAAAATTCAACTATATTTTTGTATACTGGTGACAAACATAGAGAAAACAGCATTTACAAAGGTATAATACAGGGGCATCTGGGTGACTCAGTCTGTTAAGTGTCTGCCTTCAGCTCAAGTCATGATCCCAGGGTCTTGGGATCCGAGCCTCATGTCTGTCTCCCTGCTCAACGGGGAGTCTGCCTCTCCTTGTCCATCTGCCTCTTCCCCAGCTCATGCTCTCTCTCTCATGTGCACATGCTCTCTCACTCTCAAATAGATAAAATCTTTAAAAAAAGGATGTATAATAGCATCAGAGATAAGAGTTTCATAGTATCGGAATTAAAATTATCATTAATTAATTATGACATACCAGTTTTATTCTTTGGCCTATTTTAAATTTTGATTATATTTTGTTTTAAAGCTACTTAAAGTATTTTAAAAATATGAGGAAATATATGTAAATATTTGTATGCATGTGAGTATATGGGTGTGTGTATCCTCTTTTTGTATGAGAAGCAGAAAGTCCTACATATCTTTACCAACTTTGCATTTTCACTTATACCCTACAAAGTGGTCTGTAGGAGTTTATTACCTCATTGTGTGGATGTACCATATTTTATTCAACTAGTCTCTAATAGATGATCATCTGGATTGTTATCTGGAGTGTTTCCGATCTTTTATTACTAGAAATAGTGAATACTCTCGTGCGTATATTCTTCTTTTGTTTTTGTTTTCCAGAATATCTTTGGGATAGATTCCCAATAGTGGGTTGGCTAGAATAAAGAGAAAACACATAGGTAATTTTGTTAGATATTGTCAAATTCTTCTGCATTCAGGTTCCATCGTTTTGCACTCCCATCTGTGTTTCCATAGTCTCATCAACAGAATATGTTGTCAAACTGTGATTTTTGCCGATCTGTTAGAACAAAATGGTATCTCAGAATAATTTTTGACAGTTAATGTTTTTTAAAACTTAAAAAAAATTAAAATAGGTATATGCTTACTGAAAAAAATCAAGCAGTATATAAGAGCTTAAAGTGAAAATGGTCCTTAAGTCTCCTAGTCTAACAGAGTGTGATCCTGTTAAGTTTGATGTGATATACACAGGGACAGTATATGCAAGTATATACATACACAGGTATATATTTGTTTTTAAGAATGAGAACGTGGGCCGTAAACTGTCAGGTATCTTCACCAGTATGGAGAACTGGGTGGCTGGAATGGGAGAGACGTATTTGCTACCATGCACCGTTTTGTACCTTTTGAATTTTGTAATGTGTGGCTGTATTATCTGTTTATAAAGGAATGTTAGTAAATTACTGAGGACCAATGCAAGTGTTAGGGGCACTCAGATACCCTCGGGATTGAGATTATTTGTGGGGTGAAGATAGTCTCATATATTTGAGTTTTTTTAAAATTGATGATAATATAGCACATTTTGGAAAGCATCTTCAAAATTTGTTGGTAGTACTGAGAGGTAATTTACTTTTCTGTTTTTCACACATGGACCCAATACTTGTGTCACTTACATTATTTTTTGTTCTTTCCATGCAGAGGATACATGGTAATGGGTGATTCTTTCAACACTTCCTTATTCAAGCAGACTTTTCAAAGAGTCTTTACCAAAGATATGCATGGACAGTTTAAAATGGGCTTTGGTGGTACGTTAGAAATAAAGGTAAGAGCCAAAACTTGATATGTATGGTATGTTATCAAAGAAATTTGTAGGCTTGAGTGTGATTTTAAAATATCATTAATCAAATTCAATATATGTATTAAAAATAGTGGTGGTTTTATTTCAAAAACCAGAATTAGAGATTTTACCAGAAAAATGTGTCACCATTAAATGTACATGAAATTTTACTTGAGCATTTCCAAATAATTGTTAGAAAGAAAGATACTATATAGTTAAACTTCCATTTTAACTGTGCTTTATCTTTTTAGCATTGTGTTTGCTATTGTTAATGCTAGATTTTTTTTTTTTAAAGATTTTATTTATTTATTTGAGAGAGAGACAGTGAGAGAGAGCATGAGCGAGGAGAAGGTCAGAGAGAGAAGCAGACTCCCCGCGGAGCCGGGACCCCGATGCGGGACTCGATCCCGGGACTCCAGGATCATGACCTGAGCCGAAGGCAGTCGTCCAACCAACTGAGTCACCCAGGCGTCCCGCTAGATTTTTTTTAATTGTAGGAGTTAGTAACTAACTTAAAAGAAACCTGTTCTGTTCTATTTAGGTAATCAGTAATTGTTTTACGGTTGGTAGGTTGTTGATATTGGTCACTTCTGTCATTCACTTCAAATTTGGATTTGAAGAGTCCAAAGGCTTGGGGGTACCTGGTTGGCACAGTTGGTTGGGCATCGGACTCTTGGTTTCAGCTCAGGTTGTGGGATTGAGCCCCGCGTCAGGCTCAAGGCTAAGAGGGCAGTATGCTTGAGATTCTCTCTTGCCATCCTTTGTCCCTCCCCTCTCCTCTTTCTCTCTAAAATAAATAAATCTTTAAACAAAACAAAACCCCAAAGGCTTAGTGTTAGTTACAAGTGTATTACAAACACATTGATTTTGAATTTCCATTAAATGTTTCTTATTAATCTTTTTATTTGAATGCTTGCTCTATGTCCAGCATTAGAAAAGGAAATTACAAATTACAGAGATCTCAAGGGATATATAGGGCACAGGTTTTATTAAGAAGAAACTCAATCTTGGGGCACCTGGTTGGCTTGGGCAGTAGAGCGTGCATTTCTTGATCTCAGATCTTGAATTCAAGTTCCACCTTGGGTGTGAAGCTTACTTAAAAAAAAAGTTTTGGGCGCCTGGGTGGCTCAGTGGGTTAAACCTCTGCCTTCAGCTCAGGTCATGATCTCAGGGTCCTGGGATCAAGTCCTGCATCGGGCTCTCTGCTCTGCGGAGAGCCTGCTTCCCCCTCTCTCTCTGCCTGCCTCTCTGACTACTTGTGATTTCTTTCTCTGTGTGTCAAATAAATAAATAAAATCTAAAAAAAAAAAAAGTTTTGATAGAAAGATAAGATTAACACTTGTGATAGAGTGAAATAACAGATTATAAAAGTCCTACAAAGGTTTAGGGAAGAAACACAAATATACGCAGGACACAGTTTACTCTTGATAAATTTTTTTTTTTTTAATTTTTTTAAAGATTTTATTTATTTATTTGACAGACAGAGATCACAAGTAGGCAGAGAGGCAGGCAGAGAGAGAGAGAGAGAGAGAGAGAGGAGGAAGCAGGCTCCCTGCAGAGCAGAGAGCCTGATGTGGGACTCGATCCCAGGACCCTGAGATCATGACCTGAGCTGAAGGCAGAGGCTTAACCCACTGAGCCACCCAGGCGCCCGATAAATAGTTTTATAGTAACTTATAGTGGTTTTGAAAGAAGGCAGAATTAAAGCTGGTTGAGGAGAACACATTTTAGTTAGGATCCCATTTGAGGAGAGGTAAAGAAGTGAGAATCAACATGGTATATTTGGGGAAACTTCCCAGTGAGTGAATGGTTTTTATTGCAATGTAAGGGAAATAGTTTCAGTTATGTGGTTGGTTGTAGTTTGGAGATGCATGTCTAGGCCGAAGAAGCCATTGTAAATTAATGAAGAACAGTGTTTTCGAGTAAAATTTGTCTGCCTGTGATACTCAGTTTGTTGGGGAAAAGAATCTCAAGAAAAGTGAACTAGGCTACCTAATTTTTTTTTTTTTTTTTTAGATTTTATTTATTTATTTGGCAGACAGAGTGACATAAGCAGGGGGAGTGGCAGAGGGAAAGGGAGAAGCAGGCTTACTGCTGATCAGAGTGCCTGACCTGGAGCTTGATGTGGAGCTCAATCCCAGGATCCTGGGATCATGACCTGAGCTGAAGGCAGATACTCAAAAGACTGAGCCACCCAGGCACCCCCTAATTTTTTTGATAGAAAGTAACAATAGCTTGAATTTTGGTGTCAGTAGAAATTGGAAAGAAACCAATCTTGGTGACAGATTTTCTAAGGGAGGAAAAACAGAAGATAGCATTTAAGGTTTTGAATTACGATGTATGAATTTTGGATATGGTATTATTTTGAATTGAGCGTGAGGTTCCCAAATGGAGTCCTCCTATGGACAGTTGGAAATAGAGTATTAAAGTTAGGTCAGGGCTAGATTTTAAATTTGGGCATTATCAATCTAGAAGTAACTGATGATTCATTATTTCTAATATTAATATTTTTTCATTGACTTTTGAGTTTTAAATATGGAAAAAATGTCTATTATATACTTGTAGTTGAGTGTATGTTTGAGTTTGTCTTTGAGTACACTGAGGTTTTCACTGTATTCTTACTTTGCAGACCTCAAGGGAAATAAAGATTTCAGGAGCTATTGGACCCTGTGTGTCTCTCAATTCTAAAGGACCTTGTGTATCTGAAAATGTAAGTCATCTTTAAAAAGAAAATACAGTTAATTCAAATGGCAGACCAACAAGAGACCTAGAGTGGCAGCCTATAGCATTCCTTTCAAAATTATTGTGTGGGCTAAGTTTCAGTAGAATGTGGTTCAGTTTCCATTTCCATTGGTATAATCTACTTGTGCTCATTCCTTTTGCATATCCCTTTTACCATCTACCCCTAAATCTAAACCTTGTTTAAATTTGTACTGTCAGCAATCTTTTTTTTTTTGCCCAAGTTATTCCTTGTCCCGTTATGTCTAGAAAAACTGAACAACTGTGATTTAAAAATTTGGAGACCTTTGAAAGTCAAATCCGAAATTTTTTTTTGTTAGTAGGATTTCCAGGAAAGTAACCAAATTAGCCAGATTTAAGTTTCAATTCCTTTCTTTTTTGTTATCCCATCTAGTGGCCATATAATACACTTTAAAATGGTAGAATTAATATAGCTATAGAGAGGATGATGGGACAGATAACATCTCTAAAAATATAGAGTTTAAAAGTTACTTTTAAGCAATTTTCATGGTAAAAATTGATATCTAAAGTGTTGTTTTTTTTTTTTAAATCAGACTGCTTACATTATGGAATTCTGATCTAGAGAACCTGTATTCATATGTGCATATATTATGAGTTAAATCGATACCACTTTACACAGATCAATTAGTTGGATAGAAGGATAGTGTTAATTGTAATTACTTCATTAAATGGTATATGCTTTTTTAAAGTCATTAAATGGTGTATACTTTTTTTTTTTTTCGATTTTATTTATTTATTTGACAGAGATCACAAGTAGGCAGAGAGGCAGGCAGAGAGAGAGAGAGGAGGAAGCAGGCTCCCCGCTGAGCAGAGAGCCCGACACGGAGCTCGATCCCAGGACCCTGAGATCATGACCTGAGCCCAAGGCAGAGGCTTAAACCACTGAGCCACCCAGGCGCCCCTAAATGGTATATACTTTTAGGGTTGCCTGGGTGGCTCCGTTGGTTAAGCGTCTGCCATTAGCTTGGGTCATTATCCCAGGGCCCTGGGATCAAGGCCTGCATGGAGCTCCTTGCTTAGTGGGGAGCCTGCTTTTCCTTCTCCCTCAGCTTGCTACTCCCCCTGCTTGTGTTCTCTCTCTGTCAAATAAATAAAAATCTTTAAGAATTAGGAAAAAAGTAAATGATGTATACTTTTTAAGTCTGCAATATGAAGAGCTTGTATCAATACTTAGCAAGAACTTGAATTATTTTATAATTTTATTTTGTAAAAATTGCTTAATTTTATTTAATGATGTGTTTATATGACTTCAAAAAATCTTAAGCTTTTAACATTCATTAAATTAGAAATGTGAATTTTTTTTTTTTTTAAAGATTTTATTTATTGATTTGACAGAGAGAGATCGCAGGCAGGCCAAGAGACAGGCAGAGAGAGAGGAGGAAGCAGGCTCCCTGCTGAGCAGAGAGCCCGATGCAGGGCTTGATCCCAGGACCCTGGATCATGACCTGAGCTGAAGGCAGAGGCTTAACCCACTGAGCCACACAGGCGCCCCAAAACAGTTTTTCTTAACTGCAGTTTTTTCTTCCCCTTTTTACCTTACTATATATTGTAGTAGTAGGGATGCCTAGGTGGCTCAATCAGTTCAGTCCTGGGATCAAGTCCTGCATCAGCCTCCTTGCTCAGCGGGGAGCCTGCTTCTCCCTCTCCTCCCTGCTTGTGCTCTCTCACTCCCTTTCTCTCTGACAAATAAATAAAATATTAAGAAAAAAAAAGAAATGTGAAACAGTTTTTCTTACTTCAGGTTTTTCCTCCCCTTTTTACCTTACTATATGTTATAGTACTAGATTGGGGGTACGTGGCTGGCTCATTCAGTGGAGCATGCAATTGTAGATCTTGGGGTTGTGAGTTCAAGCCCCACCCTGGGTATATAGATTACTTAAAAGTACAGTCTTTAGAAAAATTGTGTTCTCTAGCTTTCACATATACTCTTTTATTTTTACAGGAGATAGGAACAGGTGGCACTTGTCAATGGAAGATATGTGGACTCAGTCCCACTACAACCTTAGCTATCTATTTTGAGGTTGTCAATCAGGTATGACTTTTTATATTATAAGTACTCAATTTAGGCCATAAATGTTTCATATTTTTTCCAGTAGTAATTATGACTTGAAACTTAATCTGTTTTGGAATTTTTGTTACTCATTTTCTGTTTCTCAAGGCTAAACTTCTTGGTGAGAGGATAAACTATAATAGAGATATTAGGGAAACCCACAAATGCCCAACATTGGGCAACCCAACTTTTAGTCTCTGTTTTTTTCTTCTTTTTTTTCTGTCTTAATATAAAATTGAAGCATAAATAAAATCTTAAATTCTGTTCTAGTTATGCATTTTTGTAATTAGTGATTGAGGTCCTCCTAGTTGTCACAAGGTATATAAAGATATATGAAGCCCCTAGAAGAAAGTTTAATATATCAAAATTCATAGAAAAAGATTGGAGGTAAAGTATCTAATATGTGAAAAATTTTTTTCTGATATAGGAAGAAGTTATATTAAAGAATGATGTAATGTACAAATTATTGCATTACATACCAATAGAGATTAGGCATAAAATGAACCACAGAGGTTCATGGTTAGCCTTCCCAAGATACAGAAGTTTTTTTGTTTAACCATCAGAATTTGTGAAAAAGAGGTGGCTCTTACTGACCAGTCAGTCAATAAAGCAAGAATCCTTATTGTTAAAGGTCATGAAAGTTTCTTGTATTGACCACCTGCTATTTCTTTCTAAGGATCATTATTATAAATTACTGTTGGGCTCTTCTTATTAATAGTTTTCCATTGGTCATCTGTTCATCATGTGGTTATCTTCCTAAAAGTTCTGTTTTCATTTCCTATACTGCGGGGAGAAGGACTTGGTTCAGTTTCTCTTTATCCAGCTATGATTTGGCAAAATTTCCTTGCTATGCCTTTGTATCTGTTAATTTCTTTACACTTCCCCCTTTATTTTGTTCTCTTACATCTTCCGATTATATATTACTTGAAACTGATATCCTACATGGACTCACTTCTCTTTTTCTTTGTCATTTTTCCCCTTTCCCAGATCCATTTCTCTTTTATGTGGTAAATCACAGCTGTTTGGTATGCACTGGAAATAAGCATCCTTCTAATCGATTTTAGAATGACTTTCATTAATGCTAGGGAAACTGTATAACATTGTAATAGATTTTACTTAGTTTTTACTCTTATTTTTACATAGCATAATGCTCCAATTCCTCAAGGAGGACGTGGTGCAATCCAGTTTGTGACTCAGTATCAGCATTCAAGTGGGCAGAGACGCATCCGAGTGACCACCATCGCTAGGAAGTGAGTTGTATTTGTTAGACACTTAATTTACATATCAAAACTATTCTGGGTCATGTTTCCAAACTGGGTTTCTGTTTTGAGCATTATCTCTAACTAGAAAGTGGACATTTATGATTAATAGCATTTTATTTTTTAAATTCACCTTATTGGCTAAAATATTCATTGTTAGGAACCATAATTTTAAAAAAATGACTCCTAAGACACATTCTTCAAAATATTCTTGTATTTATCATAGTCCTTGGAGAGGAGGAGAAAAACTAATAAACATTATCCTATAATAGGCAATAATAATATGTATATACATGTAGAATAATATAGCATAATAATAGCATTACTTTTCAATTGATAATAAAGTTCTTAGCTACTTTTATCATTGTATATTTTTTTCAAGTTTTTATTAGCTATTTAATTCATTTACCAAACCTTTATTCATTGTCTTCTTTTTGATTAGGTACTTCTAGGGCAGGCTATGGAATGCAAAGGACTTGAACATACTTGGTCTGCTATATGATACAGAATAGTCCAGTCCTCAGAATTCTCTGTAGTGAAGGGACATTTTTTTTTTTTTCCTTCCAATTTTTTGGAGACTAATACTTTTATTAAATACAATAAAAATGAATTATTAGAAAATGTAACTTTACAAATTCAAAATATAAGTCTCTATTTTTATTATTAGATTTATTAGACAAAAAATTATTAAATTGCTTAAAAATTTCTAAACATTTATTCTCAGTTTCTGTTCTTATCTCATGGCAAACTGACACTAGATTTGCATACCACACTTTGTATAACACTGCTTGAGACCACAAAAGGTGAAAGTCTTTCAACAGTTAATTTTATAAGGTAGTATTTTATGTAACAAAGTAATGTCCTATATTTCTTGAGGTAGTTACAATTCCCAAAGAAAGTGATAAGATATACCAGATCCCTTTTCTTGCTCATCTCTATATGATGTATTTTCTGAGTAAGGCAAAAGAGAGAGTTGATTAGGATAAACTTACCTGATTTAATCATGGGCTAGAAAATGGACACAGAAGGCATCAAAGCTTGTTTTATTGAACTGTATTTAAACTCTGGCTTCATTCCTGAAAACCATGAGATTGTTTTGGTGAGTGATAGACATTAGCCTTATGCTTAAACTGAGTATTAGTTGGTTGGATTGTCTTTTGGTTAGCAAAGGATTGTACATAGGTTTGTTGTCCTGCTCTGCTACCTTGGTTTGACTTAACATCCTGGACCAATTTCTTGGAAGTTTTGATTCTTGGCAAACATGTCAATTTATTTATTTTTTATTTTATTATTATTTATTTATTTATTTTTAAAAAGATTTTTATTTATTTGACAAATGGAGATCACAGGTAGGCAGAGAGGCAGGCAGAGAGAGAGGAGGAAGCAGGCTCCCCGCCAAGCAGAGAGCCCGATGTGGGGCCCGATCCCAGGACCCTGGGATCATGAACTGAGCTGAAGGCAGAGGCTTTAACCCACTGAGCCACCCAGGCACCCCCATGTCAATTTATTTATGCCCCCTCACACACACACATGCATGCACGCACATGCATGTGCAACTTAAATTGGACATTCAAAACATTTACTTAAGGAAACAACTGGACATACCAACTGAGGGATATTTTATAAAGCTACTGACTTAGGCTTGTCAAAAATGTCTTAGAAGGCAAGAAAAGCATTAGTAACCAGTCCAGATTAAAGGAGACTGAAGAGATGTTATGACTAAAGCCAGTATGTGATTCTGGGTAAAATCCTGTGTCAGGAAAAATTTTGCTGTAGAGGACACTATGGAGACAATTAGACAAATTCAAATGTGGTTCATATATGGGATAATGTTACATCAGTGTTTAATTTCATGAATTTGATAATTAAGGCTTTATAAGAATAGAAGATAATTTTCTTGATCTTAAGAGATACACACTGAAGTTTTCAAGGGAGAGGGTCATATCTCTAACTTACCCAAGAAGTTTGACAAAGGAAAGAGTATGTGTATGAAGGAAGAGAGAATGATAAAGCAAATGTGTTAAAATGCTAACAATTGATAAACCTAGATGATGGATGTACAGGAATTTATTCTAATCATAGCTTTTTTTTTTTTTTAAGATTTATTTATTTGAGAGAAAGAGAGCATGAGTGGGAGGGACAGAGAGAGAACAGGAGACAATCTCAAGCAAACTCTGCACTGAGCGTGGAGCTGGACACAGGCCTTCATCTCACAACCCTGAGATCATGACCTGAGCCAAGACCAAGACTCAAGTTGCTTAACTGACCTCCCAGGCACCCCTCTAGTCATAGCTTTTATGTTTAAAATACATTTTAAAAGAATATATATTTATTTATTTGAGATAGTGAGTATGTACATGAGCAGAGGGACGGTCAGAGGAGGAAGGGGAGAGAGAATCCTCAAGCAGACTCCCCACTTAGTTCGGAGCTCAACTCAGGACTTGATGGCAGGACCCTGAGATCATGACGTGAGCCCAGATCTCAAGCTTGGCCACTTAACTGACTGAGCCACTCAGGCATCCCTATTTAAAATATTCTTAAAGTGAAAGGTTTTAAAAAGTTAGGTAATAATCCAGTTAGGAAATGGGCAGAAGAAGACCTGAATAGATATTTTTCCAAAGAAGACACACAGATGGCTAATAGACATATGAAAAGATGCTCAACATCACTCATCATCAGGGAAAAACAAATAAAAACTACAGTGAGATACATATACCTCACACCTGTCAGAATAGTTAAAATTAACAACACAGGAAACAACAGATACTGGCGAGGATGTTAAGGAAAGAGGAACCCTCTTACACTGTTAGTGGGAATGCTAACTGGTGCAGCCACTCTGGAAAATAGTGTGGAGGTTCCTCAAAAAGTTAAAAATAGAATTACCCTACACCCAGCAATTATACTACTAGGGATTTACCGAAAGGATATAAAGATACTGATTCAAAGGAATACATGCATCCCAATGTTTATTTATTTTTATTTTTTTTAAAGATTTTTATTTATTTGACAGACAGTGAGAACAGGAACGCAAGCAGTGGGAATGGGAGAGGGGGGAGCAGGCATCCTGCTGAGCGGGGAGTCCGATGTGGGGCTCAATCCCAGGACCCTGGGATCAAGACCTGAGCTGAAGGCAGCCGCTTACTGACTGAGCCACCCAGGCGCCCTGAATCTCAGTGTTTATAACAGCATTATCAATAATAGCCCAATCATTGAAAGAGCCCAAATGCCCATCGACTGATGAATGGATAAAGAAGAGGTGATATAAATATATATACACATACACGAAATATCACTCAACCTTCAAAAAGAATGAAATCTTGCCATTTGCAATGATGTGTGTAGAACTAGAGTGTATTATGCTAAATGAAATAAGTCAGAGAAAGACAAATACTTCTGATTTCACTCATATGTAGAATTTAAGAAATGGGACATATGAGCATAGCGGGGAAAGAGGGGGAGAGACAAACCATAAAACAGACTTTTTTTTTAAAGTAGGTTCCATCCTAGGGGTTGAACTCATGATCCTGAGATCAAGACCTGAGCTGAAATCAGGAGTCTAATGCTTAACTGACTGAACCACCTAGGTGCCCCTAAAACATTTTCTTAACTATAGAGTACAAACAGGGTTGCTGGAGGAGAGAGGTGGTCAGGGAATGGGCTAAATGGGTGATGGGCAGTAAGAAGGGGACTTGTTTTGTTTAGCACTGGGTGTTACATGTAAGTGATGTGTCACTAAATTCTACTCCTGAAAATAATACTACACTGTATAAGTAACTGGGGTTTAAACAAAAATCTGAAACAAAACAACAAAAAAAGTTAGGTAAATTTTTTAAAAGAAAGGGAACTCTCTTGTGAGAAATTTCATAGGTTTATATATTTTCAATTTGTACAGAATTTATGAGATTATTATAGAGATATATATTATGTGTGTTTTGGTGCCACTTATGTCATTATGTCTCATCAAAACACCCATCTTTTCAAATTAACTTTGAAAAGTTAATTCAAATTAACTTTGAAAATAATCAACGCTTATTTATTTTTTTATTTATTAGGAGTATGATTTTAGGGGCCTAGGCAAGTATAATTGTTTAAGTGAATAAGCCATGTGAAAATAAAGGACTCAGGTTCCTGAGATACAGTCAAAAGGTAACCCTATTTTGGGGCGCCTGGGTGGCTCAGTGGGTTAAGCCTCTGCCTTCAGCTCGGGTCATGATCTCAGAGTTCTGGGATCGAGCCCCACATCGGGCTCTCTGCACAGTGGGGAGCCTGCTTCCTCCTCTCTCTCTGCCTGCCTCTGTGCCTACTTGTGATCTCTCTCTTTGTGCTGAATAAATAAATAAAATCTTAAAAAAAAAAGTTAATCCTATTTTTCATAAAGAAAATAACTTTGATTTGGAAAGTTTGGTGTGAAACTAGTTGTAAGAATTACAGTGAGAAGGGAATATTAGAAATGCAGAAGACAGATTTTTACCATGTGAATAAACTCTTTAAAACTTGATTCTAGGGGCGCCTGGGTGGCTCAGTTGGTTAAGCCTCTGCCTTCAGCTCAGGTCAAGATCTCAGGGTCCTGGGATCAAGCCCCGCATCGGGCTCTCTGCTCAGCGGGAAGCCTGCTTCCCCTTCTCTCTCTGTCTGCCCCTCTGCCTACTTGTGATCCCTCTCTCTCTGTCAAATAAAAAAAAATTAAAAAAAAAACTTGATTCTAAGGGCATAATTTTTAAGTTATAGCTAAATAAGTTTTAATTAGTAAATATTCATGTGCTTACTTGTCAATGTAGTTAAAATGTCATCTTTATGTTTCATTTTGAAGCAAGTGAATATCATGGTCATCCAAGCTGGGAAAATACTGATTTGGATAATCTTGTTTTTAGTTCTTTGAGTTTTTTAAATTAAAACTTAAAAAATAACTGAACTATTAGTATAACCATTGTTTAAGTTGTATTAAAAATAATTTCAAAATTACTAGTTCTTACTCATTTTCTCATTCTCATTCTTTTTTTGCCTCTTGCCTGTTTCACTAGACTGAGATACTTAAAAGTTGTTAGTCATCTAGAAAATATTAAAAAATTGTTTGTTTGAAACAAATTAAAAATAGAGGAAGAAGGGAGAAGAATTTTGAATATGTTACTGCCTAAATTTTCATGGGATCACTTCTTACATCTTTGAGTCATGCAAAAGTGGTCTAGCTTTTTAAAAGCGCTTAAGAATTACCAGACTTGGTTAAAGTGAGGTACTTTAGAATTAGGATCAGCTGAAGTATTTCAAAACTCTGTGAAACATTAAAGTAACAAACAAATATAAACTGTTGCTGTGTCTACCCAAGATCAATTTGACTGGATTGGATTTATAAAACATGTGAATTTAATAAATTACTGCTATTTTTATACATAATAGCAAATTAGTCCCTTAAAGTAAAATTTTCAGTTACTAACTTTTGATTAGTTTTGGTCATTGTATTAATATAGAGAGAAAAGAATACATAGAAACTTCAATTATATCATTTTTATCATTTATAATTGAATTAAAGACCAAATGAGAAAACTTTTTAAAATAATTTTGTTCATTTTCCAGTTTAGTAAATGAGAATTATTTAGGCTGGGCGAAAACTTTTATTTTTTGTTTTATTTCCATGTTGCTGCCTTTAGAAAATTGAAGAAATAATTTCAAAGTCTGACATAGAGACTTGTGTATCTGTGTGCACATGCACACAAACACATATACCTGTGCCATTTTTTTACTTGTAAAAGTCTTAATGTTTTAAGGAATGTGTTTGGAGATCTGTCTTTACAATTATTTTTGAGGGCTTTTATTAGATTTGGGTATATTTTTCTGAAAAATAATGCTATACTGAAACTGCTATTAGTGATTTTAAAATGCTCGTTTTCTAGGTAATGTTGGAGTTTTCAAGTATTTAATTTTCTGCATCATTTTAATTTAAGTCTGTGTGGTAGCCAACTGTGATATTGTAACTTTAGTAATTCAACAGTATCTCTATGCTTTCTTCTTGCCTTTAGCTGGGCAGATGCTCAAACTCAAATCCAAAACATTGCTGCATCTTTTGACCAGGAGGCAGCTGCCATTCTTATGGCCCGGCTGGCAATCTATAGAGCAGAAACAGAGGAAGGACCAGATGTTCTCAGATGGCTAGACAGACAGCTCATTCGACTGGTAAGAAGTAAACATAGCACTTTTCTCAATTTGAATGCTTTTGTTTGTCATATTTGTTGCTTTTGTTAAGTATCTCTTTCAACATACTTAACAGTTTAACTGAAATACTATATGGGAGATTCCTAATCAAGTTGCTGAGAAAGGCATAGTACATTTATCTCTTCCAGTAAACTAAAATACATTTTTTTCCTTAAAACGAAAGAGTGACACTTAAGTAACCTATTCTTTTTCTTTCTTTTTTTGGGGCTAGAATCATATTGTTCCAGAATTAATCCTAAATTATTGAAATGTTTTTTTCTTAGTGCCTTTTTGGATATTTTTTCTTCATTGCTATGATTTTAGTTTATTTTTATTTAAGAGAAGTTAATTGTGACATAAAAATTGTATACATTAACATACAAAAATATAGGTAAGTCTTGATTATTTGAATCTATATTAGCAAGTTAGTGTTAGTACAGTTACTGGTAATGCTGATTTACTTGGGTTTTTAATGTGGCAGGAATCCAATACTTACATTTTGACCTAGAATGCTTAATTAAGTTCTAGTCTTTTTTTTTTTTTTTTTTTTAAGATTTATTTATTTATTTGAGAGGGAGAGAGAGAGCACAAGCACATAGAGGGAAAGGGAGAAGGAGAAATAAACTCCTCACTGAGCAGAGAGCCCGATGCAGGGCTCAATGTGGGGCTCGATCCCAGCTCGCTGAGATCATGACCTGAGCCGAAGGCAGACACTTAACCAACTGAACCACTCAGACACCCCTCAAAATTCTGTTCTTTTTTTTTTTTTTTTAATTTAATTTTTTTAGTGTTTCAAGATTCATTGTTCATGCACCACACTCAGTGCTCCATTTTTACTCAGCAAACTCTGGCCTATTATTTTAGTCAAACACCCTGTTGAGAACTCTCTGCGTTAAGCTATCAGATTTCTCTTTGTAACAGGAGGTTTTGTCCTCTTTGTTTAGATTTTCAGGTAGTTTTTTAAAACATTCTTGAGTGAACTAGTCTTTGTTTAGTATAATTAGTCATTTTTGTAGCATCATCCAGGACTTTTTTTTTCACTTTACCTTCAAGGGGGTTTTTATACTAACTTCTCTGTGATAAAAGCAGTGTTATAGTATCAGCACGTTTTTTTTTTACAAGAAGAGGCGTAAAACCTCTCATAGAGTTAATCACTGATTGAACACCCTCGGTACAAATGCCAACTCAGTTCCTCCAAGATGAACCATTATTTCTAGATAGGAAGATAAAATATTAAATATATTTTGACTTTTGCTAGTTTAGAACAACAGAAACATTTTCTTTCTTTTTTTTTTTTTAAGATTTTATTTATTTATTGACAGACAGAGATCACAAGTAGGCAGAGAGGCAGGCAGAGAGAGAGGAAGGAAAGCAGGCTCCCTGCTGAGCAGAGAGCCCGATGTGGGGCTGGATCCCAGGACCCTGGAGTTATGACCTGAGCCAAAGGCAGAGGCTGTAACCCACTGAGCCACCCAGGCACCCCAGCAGAAACATTTTCTTGAATCACACTATCTTTTAGCAATTTGACATGACATTAGTGAAATCTGTTGACTCATCAACCTGAATAGAAAAGCTATTATTTTTCAGCTGATTGTATAAACCTCTTCAGTATCATGTGACATGTTATCAATGCATTCACTTAATGTAGTGTTTTAAAATGGAACCTTTTCATTTTCTCAACTGCATCTTTTTTATTAAGATTTATTTATTTTGTTTTTTATTTTTTTAATATTTATTTATTTATTTAATTTATTCCTTTGAGACAGCACATGAGCAAGGGGAGAGGCAGAGGGAGAGGGAGAAGCAGCAGAACCCTGGGATCATGACCAGAACTAGAGGCAGGCACTCAACTATCTGAGCCACCCAGGCACCCCAAGATTTATTTATTTTAGAGAGCGTGTGCTTGTGTGAGTGGAGGGAAGGGCAGAGGGAGAGAGAGTCTTAAAGCAGATTCCCCACTGAGCACCGAGCCCGGCATGGGGCTTTGTCTATGAGTCATGAGATCATGACTTGAGCCAAAACCAAGACAGAAGCTTAACCAGCTGAGCCACCCAGATACCTCACAGATTGCATCTCATCCTAGCATTTTACTTATTATAATTTTACATATTGGTATTATTAGGTTTTATCACTAGTTCTGTGACTTTTCCTTTTCTGGGTAAGAACTTAGTAATCTGAAGAATCTTGCTTCCTGAACCTTTTCAATGAACATGACTTTGTTTTAATAAATACTTTATTGTTTTAAGAAGGTATTTGAAGTAATAACCTTTATTTGCCAGATGACTGTGGTTTGTAATAAAGTGCTTTTGCTGTTTTGGTAGAACTATTACTACATTTTTAGGTTATCACACGTGATTCAAAACTGAGCAGTACAGCTTGGGTTATCAGCCCTCATAAAACCCGTTGATGGGGTGCCTGGGTGTCTCATTCATTAAGCATCTGCCTTTGGCTCTCTGGGATCAAGACCTGCATTGTGCTCCCTGCTCAGCAGGACGCCTGCTTCTCCCTCTCCCACTCCCTCTGCTTATGTTCTGTCTCTCTCTGTGAAATAATAAGTAAAATCTTTAAAAAAAAACAAAACCCATTAATTAGTAGCTTTCATTGTAAAGATCAACCTTTTCTGTGTCCCTTATTGCCTAAGTGTAGTGAAATGACTCAGAAGATTGTAATTCTTAGGAATTCTCTGTGGGTTTATGTTGAATCTTTGTCTTCTGTCTCACACCTGAACTTCAAAATTTGCCGTATTGTTTGACATGCTTGTAAAACATAAACACTATTAATATATAAAACAGAATGGTTTTGTAAAGAACTAAATGAGATACTTACAAAAACTATGAAATTACAAAACCTACAATATAATTCACTTCTACGCATTCTGTAATTTTGTAGCTTTAAAACAGGAGCACGAGGCTTCTGAGGATAGAGAATAGATGAGTCATGGGATGATGAAAATTTTACTCTTATCTTTTGCCACACCAGTGTAGCTTCTTTGTTCCTATCAGTCAGTTGGCAAATGTATGTAAGAGGAAGTTGGTGGAGGTAATTTGAAGGAGAGGCTTACATTACCAGACTAGTGCCCTGCTTTCTGTGCAAAATAGCTTTCACCACTTACTGATGGCCTCCCTTATATGTCAGAAACTGAGAATGGAGTTCTCCAAATGAACATAGTACTACTGCATACTGACACATGGGACTGAAAGGTGGCTTAAAGAAATTGCTAACAGGATAACTTGGAAACTGTCTGTCACTGTGGCTGGCGTCATATGGTATGCAAAGTTCAGAAAACAAATTAAAAAAAAAAGTTTTGGGGCACCTGGGTGGCTCAGTTGGTTAAGCCTTCAGCTCAGGTGGTGATCCCAGGATTCTGGGATCGAGCCCCGTGTCGGGCTCCTTGCTTCAGGGTGAGCCTGCTTCTTCTTCTGTCCGCCGCTCCCACTGCTTGTTGTCACACTCTCTCTCTCCCTCTCTCTCTCTGTATAATAAATAAATAAAATTTTGTAAAAAAGTTTCTTGTGGAACCCCTAGCGACTGAGGAGCCCTCATCTATGGTAAAAGTGGTGAGAATATGATCTTTACATTCTTTTAATTGATTGAATCAAATTAGCATACAGTTGAAGTAAAGCTCCCAGTGATGACCAGTGAACCCTAGTTACAGAGGCTGTTCTAAGATTCATTTTTTGTACTGATTCCTCATTGCTAAAATTTTAGTTCTAACAGTGATAACAACACAAATAGAGAAGGAGTTAATAATACCTTTTAGGTAACTATACTTCTGTAAGTTTTTTCCAAATGAAAAAAATCTGTGAAATTACACTAACTTCTTTCTTCAGTTTGGCATAGTGAATATAATGTTTTCTTTTTTCTTGATGACCTAGACTAATTTTTGTTAAAAATAAACATCTTTTGGGGGGCACCTGGGTGGCTGGCTCAGATGGAAATCTCAGGATCGTGAGATCGAGTTCGACGTTGTGCTCCGTGCTTGGTGCGAAATCTGCTTGAGATTCTTTTTCCCTTTCTCTCTGCCACTCCTGCTCATGCTCTGTCTCTCTGTAAAATAAATAAATCTTTTTAAAAAGCCAGTCATCTTTTTATTAAAAACTGTTTTGTAGATAATGGGAAAATTATGGCCAGATTGGTGCTGTAGCACATTTGCTTCTGACCCTTTTAATATAAGTCCTTGCTCCCCTTGGTCATAATCACTTAAGATACTGGTATCAACATTTGATCTGTCACCTCCATCCAGAGTCTCTTGTTTGGATCCCTCTTGTGCCCACCTCCATGGATCTGTTCCTTACCTTTTTTTGTTGCTGTGCCTTTTTTGACTCCTGACCTTTTCTATTGAATGACACCCTTTTTACAACTTAAACCTGATATTTGATTTTTTTTCCCCCCATCTTTGACCTTTGGTTTACCCACTAACCACAAATTGTATTTTCCCTTTAGCTGTGCTGCTAGCTACAGTGGATAAACAGTTCATCTGATTAGACTTGGCTCAGGAAATCGCTGTTGTTTAAGACCCTTGGACTTTCCTAGCAAATCCTACCCCTGCCAGGTTTTTTCTTGTTATACCAGTGGGACCAGGCACTTTAGTTGTGCTCTTTTGTGTGTGTGTGTGTGTGTGTTTAGAGAGAGCGAGTGGGGGTGGGGGAGCAGACAGAGACTCTTAAGCAGTTTCCACAGTCAGGTCAGAGCCCAACACAGAGCTTGATCTCACAACCCTGAAATCATGACCTGAGCCAAATCAAGAGTCAGCCTCTCAACCAGCTGAACCATGCAGGCACCCCTGTTGTGCTGTTTTTAAAGATGACCACATTTGTCATACCATATTTTTATAGAGGTTAGGCACTGACCATTAGGGCCCTTTTATATGTCTGCCTTTGTGTGTAAATAGTTAACTGAATTAAAGACGGGACTAGATTTCTTATAAGTGTTGTTATTTTCCTCAAGAAAATTATATTATTATTGCTTTTTCTGCTCGATCTTATTACTTCTAAATAACTCAAGCCATGGATCTTTGATATACCTCCTTTATCCTTAAATCTGTTTTTTGTTTGTTTGTTTGTTTGTTTTCCCATCTGTGTTAGTGTTTTGGTTAGGTTGTTAATAAGGACTATTCCTCATGATTCCAATAATTAATGCTAGGGCACTTGATATGTGTTCAAAAATTTTTTTAAGAAGTAATTCAAAGTGGGATGCCTGGGTGGCTGTTAAGTCTCTTAAGTGTCTGCCTTCAGCTCAGGTCATGATCCAAGGGTCCTGGGATCAAATCCCGCATCAGGCTCCTTACTAAGCTGGGAGCCTGCTTCTCCCTCTGCCTGCTACTCCCCCTGCTTGTGCGTGCGTGCTCTCTCTCTGAGAAATAAATAAATAAAACCTTAAAAAAAAGGTAACTCAATGATTAGAAATGTATGTTTTTAAGAAGTTTTGCAAATTTTATATTGTTATCTGTAGTAAAGTTTGGTTATATTTATCAAAAAATAGGTTAATACACATTTAACTTTTTTTTTTTAAGACTTTATTTATTTATTTGACAGACTGCAAGTAGGCAGAGAGGCAGGCATAGAGAGAGAGGAGGAAGCAGGTTCCCTGCTGAGCAGAGAGCCCGACGCAGGTCTCGATCCCAGGACCCTGGGATCATGACCTGAGCTGAAGGCAGAGGCTTTAACCCACTGAGCCACCCAGGTGCCCCTACATTTAACTTCTGGATGCATTTTTTTTGTTTTTGTTTTTGTTTTTTTTTTTAGAGGGAGGGTGGGAGGAGCAGAGGGAGAGAGAGAATTTTAAGCATGCTCCACACCCAGTGTGGGGCCTGATACAGGACTGGATCACACAACCCTGAGATCGTGACCTTGAGCCAGTGCTTAACTGACTGAGTCACCCAGGTGCCCCTGAAGCAGAAGGATTTTTTTACATGAAATAAAAAGCAGGAACTGTTAAATAAAAATATTAAAAGATTTTATTATAGGGGCACCTGCATGTCTCAGTTGGTTAAACATCTGACTCTTGATTTTGGCTCAGATCAGGATCTCAGGGTTGTGGGATTGAGCCCTGTATCGGGCTCCAAAATCAACAGGGAGTCTGCTTCAGATTCTTTCCCTCTTCCTCTGCCCTTGTTCTCTCTCTCTAAAATAAACAAATCTTTTTTTGTTATTACTTTTTATTATGTTAGTCACCTACATCATTACTTTTTGATGTAGTGTTCCAAGATTCATAAAAATAAATCTTAAAAATAAAAGGTTTTATTACATTAAAATGGAATAAAAAATCTGTGTGGTAGGGGCACCTAGGTGGCTCAGCTGATTAAGTATCTGCCTTTGGTTCAGGTTATGATCCCCAGGGTCCTGGATGGAGCCTGGTGTCAGGCTCCCTGCCCAGCAAGGGAGTCTGCTTCTTCCTCTGCCTCTGTCCTTCTTCCCAGCTTGTACCCTCTCCCTCTTTCTCTCATATAAATAAAATCTGTGTGGTTAAAAGAGAAAAAAAAATCTGTGTGGTAAAAATACCATTATCAAAATTTAATGCCAACTTGTATGTATGGCTTACATCTTTGACATATTCTTATATGTATAACAGAATGTGGAAATTTTCATATACATATATGTATATGTATGTTTATATGCTCTTACAAATCAGTAAGATTTGGGCAAAAAAATCAGTAAAGTTCAAGAATAAGGAATTAGCTAAAGAAGGAATGCAAGTGACCAGTCAACATATGAAAAAATTACCAATCTTATTTATAATCAATGTTAGAAAATAGAAGATAATAATTTTTATCTATTAAACTGGTAAGAATTAGAAAAACACAGTAAAGCTTAAAAGTTGGTTAATATTCAGGGAAACGGACAGCTTGTAGGTTTGAAGTATGAGCTGTATTGTAAACATCTGTATAACCTTATATATAAAAGGCAATTGATGACATACAACAGAAGCTTAAAAACTGCCTTTTAGGGGCGCCTGGGTGGCTCAGTGGGTTAAAACCTCTGCCTTCAGCTCAGGTCCTGATCCCAGGGTCCTGGGATCGAGACCCACATCAGGCTCTCTGCTCAGCAGGGAGCCTGCTTCCCTTCCTCTCTCTCTCTCTGCCTACTTGTGATCTGTCAAATAAATAAATAAATCTTTAAGAAAACAAAACAAATCTGCCTTTTACCTAGAAATTCTACCTCTAAGAATTTATTCTCGAGATAAAACAGGATAATTATAAATGCTAATAATGAGGGATTGGATAAGATTGTTATGGTGTATATTTTAATATAGTGGAATCTTAGCCATTAAAAGTGAAATGATAGATTATATTTAGTGATATGAAAATAAATATTCATAATACAAGCAAAAATGGACATAAGTATCAAATGCATCCCACTCTAAAAATCAGCCTTTTGGACGTCCCTGGTTATCTAAGCATAAAAGTCAACAATGTTTTTGTTACCCTTATTAACCATAACATCAGATTTTCCTAACACTTTAACAGAATTCCAGGCACAGTTTAAATTGTATATATTGTAATGCTATCAGTAGTTCTGAATAATGTGTGACTACTGGTTTTGCTCACAGTATCTTTTCAGTGTATTTCGGTGTATTTGACATTTTAGATTTCATGTGTAATCTGCATTGTCCCTTACCGAAGTGTTCACTACGTGCATAGAGCTGTTGAGCTCTTGATATATGGCTAGTGCAATTGAGAGGAGCTGGACTTTTATTTAATTTCAGTTTATTTAAATTGCTTCGTATAGCTGTGGCTATCATATTGTACAGTGGAGATTACTCTCTTAATCTGTAAGTTCATCAGTGAAATATTATTAGGGGCATTAAAGAAGCAATTCTCTTATTTCCAGATACCAAGATCTATTTTCGGAGGATTAGCTTTACAACTATAGCTTTTCTTGCATGACAGTGGTTCTGAAATGAATTTCCTTGGAAGCCAAAAATGTGATCAAACCAATTATGCCTTTTTATGTGCTCTATACAGCACAGATGACTATACAAATCATATAGTTGAACATTCCAGGAAGCAAAAGCAACTGCACTAACTATAGCAGTGAACTTTTTGCTAGTTTTTACTTGTTATTTGTGCCCTTGATCGTATGTGAGTGCCATGCTGAACACTGCCAGGATATAGACCAATTACATAAGTACTGTAAACATTTTTTCAGATAAGAGACTGCACAAGAACAAGAAGAGGAAGCTAATGTTTGTTGAGTGCTTAGTGTTAGTCATTGTGCTAAGCACTTTCTCATGGATTATCTCAGTTATTTAGTTGCCTTTTGTCACATTCTCATGGAGGGCTTTCTTGCTTGCTAGTGCATGTGCTTCCCTTTACTTTATTTCCTTTTAATTTCAGCCTTTGTGTTTTTTCTTTGTTTACCAGTTTACCTGTTCATCTCAGATTTTTTCCTCAGCTCTTCTTTCTCTTTTGGCATTGTTTCTATTGTACAATTTTATATCATCGACTTGCTTTTGTTATAACCACTATGGTATTTTGATAGTTGCATCTTCCTGTCAGTAGGCTCTTGTCCTTCATAGGCAGAGTCTTAAGGGGCACGTATTGAGCTCTTTTGGCCATTATCTAAGAACTCTTTATTTGCTATCAGAGATGCTTAGTTAAAAAAAAACCCAAACATTGAAGATGAGTTGTTACTGCATTGGAGCAATGTTTTGTTTACTGCTTAAATTCAAATGTATTTCTTTTGGTGTAATCCTTTTCTTGGTAAGTAAATTCCAATTTTATCCCATATCAAGTATCTGCCTTCTAAAGAGTAATAGCTCTTTTTAAAAAAAAAATATTTTTGATTTATTTATTTGAGAGAGAGAGAGAGAGAGTGCTAGAAGAGGGGAGAGGCAGAGGGAGAGGAAGAGGGAGAAACGGACTCCTTGCTGAGCAGGAAGCCCCAAGTAGGGGCTCAATCCCAGGACCCTGGGATCATGACCTTAGCCAAAGGCAGATGCTTAACTAATTGAGCCACCAAGGAACCCCAAGAGTAATAACTTTTAAAAAATAGAATATTTATGGGTAAGAGAGTTAGTTGTATTCCAGGGAATATATTACCTAACACATTTTATTTTATTTTATTTAGTGTCAGAAATTTGGAGAGTATCACAAAGATGATCCAAGTTCCTTCAGATTTTCAGAAACTTTCTCCCTTTATCCACAGGTGAGTAGATAAAAAGTCCATGTTCTTTTCTTAGTGTTGACAGTATAGCATTGGGTCTCACTTTCTCTGTTGTATAAGAATATAGGACCTGTTGTACTGGGTTATTCTTTTGGTAGTGTTTTAAGTTTTGGGATAGCTGAGAAATTAATATTGTGCTTGTGTAGTCATTGAAAAGCATATAATATGTTTATGAGGGCCTTCAAAACAGTCATTTATTTGTGGTGAAAGAAATTTACACTGAAACTCTACTCTGGAATAGAATTAGGTGTGAGGTAGATTAGCTTTCTGTCTGTTATAAGGGATCTATCTAATTACAATAGTACCAAAAGGTAGTAACTTGACCAGTTAGTCTTACAGTGTGGTACCATTACCTGAGAACAATTTTATGGGGATATACCAGGTAAATAAAAACGAAGCTGATTTGATTTATCTTACAGGAATTTTTCCACTTGTGTTGTAGACTCTACCTGTCTTATTTTGATAGATATTTTTTGAAAGTCTAGGTTTTTTATGTGATAAGTAACAGAGAACATTTATTCAGCTGAGGTCTTGAAGAAAAGAACTTTAGGAGAATAAAGATGACTGCCACAGATCTTAATTTCCAGATGCTTTCAGTCTGAAGGGTGAGATCTGAAATATGTATAACACAGAACGGAAAGGGAGAAATGCTATGAGAGATATACAAAATTTAAAGGAATCCTTCCAAGTGAATGGTGTGATATATCTTTATAGAAGAGGTGTCATTTTAGCTTAGCCTGGAAGGATGATTATATTGAGATGTGGAAATTCAAATTTTAGCCCATGAACACCTTGCTCAAAGCTTCAACTTTGTTTTCAGAACTATTCTCATTTTTTATTGATCTGTAGTGTAGAAACTTCATGTTTATACAGGGAGATGTCCCTAAACCTCTGGTTGCAGTTTTGGAGAACTAGGAAAGGGCAGAGTCTCTTTGTCTTAAGGCAGGCAAAACCCTGTCTCAGGCCTCTCATATTAGTAGCAGAAACTAATAGGAAAGAGAATGTGGGCATTAGCCTCAGTATTTGATTGAATGCCGAACTGTTTCCTTTCTTTCTCTTCCAACTCCAAGCCTTCTTTTTAGGCTTTTGACAGTTGATAGATCTCCTGAGAGATCTGGGCCTCTTATTTTTTCCCCTCTATTGGAAATCACAGAGGACCCAGAAATTATTTTTTTCTTTGGGCTTTCAAAGCCTAATGCTCTTCTAAAAGGTAACATAGACTAAATTTAGAGAAGGTGTTTATTTCTGAAATATCTACCCCCAGATTTACCAGTTACACATTGCTGTGAGTAAACAGAAATGGCTGAAGTGGTAAGGGTTGAGAGAGCCTCTCAGTGAATTCTGATCACTGAACAGAAAAGGAATGAAAGTGTCACTGAGTAGCATATGCTGGGAGAGACCTGTGGAATGAGTCCCAAGCAGGGGCATCATGTTGGCACTTGAGCCCTAAGGGCAGAGGGAAGTGGAAAGAAGTAACTGAAAGAAAGTAAGAGTTCTTTGGAGAGCTGATTCTATTGATTGTATCTGAGACCCTTTGATTCTATCAAAGCACAATTTTGCTGTCCTTTATTCAGGCCAGACTCTTCCCCATTTTGATCTCTTTCATATGAGGAGTGGGTGGAAGGAAAGTGAAAGGAGAAAGAAGTAATGAGACAAGTCTAAAGAATGTTTCTTAGGAATGAGGAAGAACTTAAATGTTAAGAAACAAGTGGGTGTATTTAAGTCCTTTTTTTTTTTTTTCCTCCCCCAAATCATTGCAGACCCTTCCCAGTGCAACTTTTGGGAGCTCTCAAAAAGTAGAAAATTTGTTAATCTATTTTTATATTCTCTTGGAGTCTTTTGATGGTGGTAAGGAATAGTAATAAAGAAGTTCAGAGATGTGGCCAGAGAGATGGGGGATAAAAACAATGCTGATAAAGCACCATGTACTATCAGCCTCTGAATAATCTACATCTGAGCAAGGAGTTTTTTGTTCCTAGTCATGTCCTTTTGAGTCATCTCTTTTCCTTTAATTTTTTTGTTGTCATACTTTCAAGTAACTTATAAAGATCATGAATAAGATTCTTAATACAATTTAGAGGGGCGCCTGGGTGGCTCAGTGGTTAAAGCCTCTGCCTTCGGCTCGGGTCATGATCTCAGGGTCCTTGGATCGAGTCCCGCATTGGGTGGGGGGGGGCGTCTCTGCTCAGCAGGGAGTCTGCTTCCTCCTCTCTCTCTGCCTGCCTCTTTGCCTACTTGTGATCTCTATCTGTCAAATGAATAAATAAAATGTTAAAAAAAAAGAATACAATTTAGAATGTCCTTATTGTAACTTGTTTTGTCTTGATAGTTCTAATCAAATGCTTTTGTAATAGTAAACTCCTATTGCAGTAAAATCAGTAAAAACTATCTCACATGTTTTTTCTTGTAGTTTATGTTTCATTTAAGAAGATCTCCTTTCTTACAAGTTTTTAACAATAGTCCTGATGAGAGTTCATATTATCGTCACCATTTTATGCGTCAAGATTTGACCCAGTCTCTAATTATGATTCAGCCTATTCTGTATGCATATTCTTTTAGTGGACCCCCAGAGGTAAGAGAGACAGAAAACAAAAATTGGTTTCATTAATGTGATGTATGTGATTAAAAAGTGAAAACAACTAAGTTTTTTTTGGAACATAGTTACTAAATACAGGAATTTAGTTCAAGAAGTTATGTTATTCATATATTCACTTAAAAATATTTGAGTGCTTACTATATGCTAGGTTGCACTAGGAAATTATTTTAAAAATATAACAAGTGAGGTGGGAGAGACTTTTAAGATAAATTTGTGTAATTTCGTTGATCAAATCCTCTAGGTTTTATGATTATTCTTATGTCTTTAATGATATGATGGTAATGATGATTCTAGAACCTGTAGCTTATTCCAGAGTATGGTGTCTAATAATTAGGACATTCTGTCCAAAGAAAATCTCTTGCTTAAATATCATCTCATTCTCCTGTAGCTTTTTTTGAACATAGATGCAGTTAATTATAAAGATGTATATTTAGAAAGGTAATAATAAAGTCATACATTTAGATTTCTTAGCAAACTGTTCCACTTACTTTAACCAACTGTTAAATAAACAGTTTTTCTATTTTGAAGTTAAAATTTCTGTTTTACCACTTTTAAGTATGCAATGATTATATTTAAAAATATTTAAGAATGGTCAGCATAAAGAGAATATTTATAATATCACCTGATTAATGATCTCTCATGATTCCTTTATTATTATGTTTGTAAAAAATATTGTATAAAGCATTTTGTTACTATAATTGTTTTTAGTAGTTTGTCATAGCGTCTTCTTTCCTGGAAAATATGTATTGTTAATGTGATGGTCTAGCTATGTATTAGGTTTTATAGTTCTTTGAATCAGGAAAGAAAGTTTTAGAGATTTATTTTTTCTTATTTCAGAGTAATACATGTAAATTATAGATACTTGAAAAATGTACATTAGTGTTTAGAGGAAATTTGGAATCGCACAGTCTCTACTGTCTGCTCCTGTTAAATTCCAACCTTCCCATTTAATCCATGAATCCCATTAGCTTCATTTACTTAAGAGTTTGCATTTGCAGTTATTCTCTTTCTTCCATCATCCCTTGCTCTTCCTCTGGATCATTCTCATTAGCAAAGAAATCTGAGTCACATTCACGTTAAAAACCAACAGACAGGGTGACTGGGTTATGGACACTGGGGAGGGTATATGCTATGGTGAGTGCTGTGTAGTGTGTAAGCCTGATGATTCACAGACCTATACCCTTGGGGCTAATAATACATTATATGTTAATTTAAAAAAAAAGAAATTAAAAAAAACAAAACCCAACAGACAGAACCACTCTTGACTTCACATTTTCTCTAATTGCCACCCATTTCTCTGGTCTCAGTTGCGGCTAAACTCAGAAAGTTACCTGTTGTCTCTATGATGATCTCACCTCACATTCTCTTCTCAACCTACATTATTCAGATTCTTGTCCTTAGCATTACACTGAAACAACTGTTACCAGGTCACCAATGGCCTACGTCTTGCCAGAACTCTCGACAGCATTTATTTACCTAATGAGGACTCTCCTCGAAAACCTTTTGTTTAAAGCTTCTCTGACACCTGCAATACCTACTGGTTTTCCTCCTAATCACTGCCTGTTCCTTCTCAGTTTCCTTTTGCTGACTTCTCCTTTTCAGATCTTTTGAAGTGTTGGCATGCTCCGGGGCCCAGTCTCTGGCATTTGTTCTGTATTCCCTCTGTGGTGTAGATACATACTGTGATGCGATATGATCACATAGCTTTCATTACCATCTTCATGCATGTGATATCAAAATTTATGTCATTAGTTCTGGCCACTCTCTTACATTTCCTACTCTGAACTGTTTTTCCATCTCTAAATTTGCTCTTTCCCAAGCCTCTCCCCTCTTACTCAGTGGGGCCATCATCAGGCTTAGGAGTGGAAATTTCCTGATTTCCTCTTGGCTCTACTCTGTTTTTTAATTGTTGTCTCTGTTTTTGTGACTTCTTAGAAAATTAAAATGTACTGCAAGAATTCATGATAGCCTATGGCGAGTGCTGTGAAGTGCGTAAACCTGGCGATTCACAGACCTGTACCCCTGGGGCTAACAATACATTATATGTTAATAAAAAATTTAAAAATTTAACATAAAAAAAGAATTCATGATAGCAAGATGTTTTCGAGTTATAAGATATAAATTTAAAATGTTAAAGATATTCTCAAAAGATCTGCTTTGTAACTTTATTTATTTTTCCATCCTCCTGTTCTCTGTTTTCTTCTGTTAGCCGGTTCTTCTTGATAGCAGCAGCATTCTTGCAGATCGCATTCTTCTCATGGACACGTTCTTCCAGATTTTGATTTATCATGGTGAGGTAAGATTCCATAACATTGAAAGCTATGCACATAGGTGCAATAGTCTTTTTATTCATGGAAGCTTTCTCTTCTTTACTGTATGACTACTGTTTCTTCTCTAATAAACTTTTACTTCCATTTTTATATAATAGGTATAAAATATGGTTCTTCCTGCCACAGGTTTTTAGACTTCATTTGCAGTTGACCTACCTGTGCTTGTTTTGTCCATTTGTCCATGTACGATTTGATAAATAGATTTTACACAAAGCATAGTGCTGTGAAATTAAAAGCATTGATGTGTATATAGGCATGCCATACTTCTGGTTTTTACCTGAGACATTGAGAAGGGAAAAGCCTTTGTCAGTAGGGAGGGTCTCCCTTTCATTATTTGATGTAATAATTTAAAAAGTATTCCATTTAATGCACTGAAAGTACTTAAAAAATTTATTCCACATGATCTGAAAACTCATTTAAAACATAAGTGAGGGGCACCTGGGTGGCTCAGTGGGTTAAAGCCTCAGGTAATGATCCCAGTGTCCTGGGATTGAGGCCTGCATCAGGCTCTCTGCTCAGTGGGGAGCTTGCTTTCTCCTCTCTCTTTCTCTCTGCCTGCGTGTGATCCCTGTCAAATAAATACAATCTTTAAAAAAAAAAATCATAAGTGAATTAGAAGTAAAATTTATACCTTTACTTAATTGGAATGGTACATGACTGGAAAGAGCAGAATATCTGAGTAGCCATTAAGCTTTAGTCCAAGTATTTAGCAGAACTCTGTTCATTCCTGCATTATTTGTTCAGCCAGTAATTAAAATGTTTTCTCTGTATAAGAAAGCATTGTATTCTGGATGCCTTGAAAGATACAAAGATTCTTTTTTCACAGACCCACACTCAAACTTCTAGTCTAGAATTCTAGTAACTTGTGCAGATTTATTTTTCCTATTATTTTAATTATAAATGATTTTAGATTTCTACAGTAATTGTGGAGGTGTACTCAAAATATCCTTTTAAGTAATATGATCTAGGCCTTTTAAAAGATTTATTGATTATTATTTTTAATTGGTACCAGTACTGATATATATATGTATATATTAAGATTTTATTTATTTATTTGACAGAGAGAGAGATCACAAGTAGGCAGAGAGGCAGAGAGGAGGGGGAAGCAGGCTCCCTGCTGAGCAGAGAGCCCGATGTGGGGCTTGATCCCAGGACCCTGAGATCATGACCTGAGCTGAAGGCAGAGGCTTTAACCCACTGAGCCACCCAGGTGCCCCTGTACTTTAATTTTTAAGGATAATGCCTATTATATGACAGAGAGAGGTATTTTGCTGCTTTTTTTTTTTTTTAAGATTTTATTGATTTATTCGACAGAGAGAGATCACAATTAAGCAGAGAGGCAGGCAGAGTGAGAGGGGGAAGCAGGCTCGCCGCCGAGCAGAGAGCCCGATGTGTGACTTGATCCCAGGACCCTAGGACCACAACCTGAGCCGAAGGCAGAGGCTTTAATCCACCCAGCCACCCAGGCGCCCCTGCTTTTTTTTTTTTTAATAGCTTGTTAATGTGCTTAAAGGAGAAATCTGAAATGCACATCACTGTTCCTCTGTTAAATACAGGAATATAAAGCCATATAGAGTATATATTGACTGATGCAGTTAAGTTAGAAATGAAGACAAATTTAAATTTTTGGATGATTTAATTACATGATTTTTGGAGCCATTTACCTTAATAAAAGAATTGATTGAGATGCTCTACTACAGGTCTGTTGTCTTTATAATGTTATTGCTATCATCACTAAATTTTTTCTGTTTGTCTATCTTGCCAGAATGTAAAGCCATTGATAAAGATTTTATAATAGTAGGTGGTTAATTTTGAAGTCTCTGGGAAATCTTCCGTTAACAGAAGTCCGCTTTGTTCATCATAAACTTAAATAAATAGGTTTTAGCTAATAATATAATGTTTAAAATTTTTTCTGGTTTATTATTTCTTTTTACTTTTAAAGGAGAAGAAATACTCTAATTTTGTATCTATTTACCCAAGGATACCAAAATTAGTGTTCTTGATTTGATAACTGATAAATGAAACAATGATTATAATTTTCTTATTTTCTGAGGATCAGTTCCTTTGGAAAAACCTCTTAAAGGTTTTGGGTCGGCAAGAAATTAATAATTCCTTTAATTGCTTTAAAATTAGACCATTGCACAGTGGCGCAAGTCAGGATACCAGGACATGCCAGAATATGAAAATTTCCGCCATCTTCTACAAGCCCCGGTGGATGATGCACAGGAGATTCTTCACTCCAGATTTCCGATGCCGAGATACATCGACACTGAACATGGAGGTAGCCAGGTGAGTATAGTTAATGTTTTGTTGTTAGTACTGTAATGAGTTGTTCCTACTTGCTTTCTTGACTTTAATTTGAAAAGACTGCTTCATAAGGCAAGGAAAGGGGAAGAAGATGGGTAAAAGTTTTTTTTTTTTGTTTTAGCATTGAGAGCAAAGCAGTGATTATTGGCCAGCTGCCTAAAGCTAGCAATTTCCACCACCTTCTGCCACCAGCCCACATTTAATAACGGAGCCAGGATGATGTTATGGTGGCACGTCTGCTTTAGTTGAGCAAGAAGAACAACTTGGAAGAAAATGTAGTGTACCTTTCTTAGTATAATTCTGTTAATTCTGTTTATTTAGTGAAGAAGTCTATGAATATGAACTTCACGGTAACATTTTCTGTTTTCCTCATTCTGTGATTTCAGTGCTCTAGAAAATGTCATGTAATGGGAAAGTATATTACAGAAGGCTTTGTGATTTTTAGAGTTAGGAGGACTTAATAAGGTACATGTACATATACACACAGCCCTTCAGGACCTTTCAGAAGGCTAGGCTTAAGACCCCTTAACATATACTGTTTTATTTATCTATTTATTCATTTATTTATTTTTAATTTTTTAATTAACATATATTATTTGCCCCAGGGGTACAGGTCTGTGAATTATCAGGCTTACACGTTTCACAGCACTCACCATAGCACATACCCTCCCCAATGTCCATAACCCAACCGGTCTCTCCCTACCCCTCTTCCCCCAGCAACCCTCAGTTTATTTCGTTAGATAGAGTCTCTTATGGTTTGTCTCCTTCCTGATCCCATCTTGTTTGATTTTTTCCTTGCCAACCCCCCCAAAATTCCTCATATCAGAGAGATCATATGGTAATTGTCTTTCTCTGATTGACTTATTTTGCTTAGCATAATACCCTCTAGTTCCATCCACATCATTGTAAATGGTAGGATTTCATTTTTTTGATGGCTGCATAGTATTCCATTGTATATATATATACCACATCTTCTTCATCCATTCATCTGTTGATGGACATCTAGGTTCTTTCCATAGTTTGGATATCCCTTAACATATACTCTTTTTTTTTTTTTTAAATCCCTTAACATATACTCTTAAAATAATTTTTATTTCTTCCTTGTAATTTTATTAGAACTATAATAAATTAATTATAGGTTATTGTAAGTTTGTTTCACTTGCTAAAGGCAGGGACCTTGCTTTGTTTATTGCTTCCCTAGTGTTTAGCACAGTATTATAAAATAGGTGGTAAATATTAGTAGCTATTATTCAGAAATGGTAGCAGTTATTTTTAGAGCTTTATTATATTTCTAATAAGAGATACCATGTATTGAGAATTTGCAAAGCTGTTAGTACTTTATACACCTTATCTCATTTGATCCTCATAACAGTGCTATTGTTATCTCTATTTTACAGATAATAACACCAAGACTTAGGTTACTTGTGGCCAAGGAAACACAGTAAATGGAGAAGCTAGTATTTGAATCTAGGTGTTTTCACTTCAGAGCCAGTGCTCTGGTGTTAAACTACTTACTCATAGAGTAGAAAAAGATTTTGTGTGATACTAAATTTCAGAAGATATGACTGCCTGCGTTTTTCCAGTGTGAAATAATAATTTATGCCTAGTTCTTTCCTTGATGTCTCATCATGTGTGGTGCTATTTTCCTCTTTTATTCTGGTTTTCATGATTATAAGTCTTAGTGGAGAGATGGTTAAAATGTTGGGTAAGTTGTGTTATGGAATAGCCTACAGTCTAAGAAAGTTTGAGAGTCATTGTTTAAAGTAAAAGAATGTATAAGGTACCCTTTGCTTTTTCAAATCTCTGATGATGTTTCAGACCGGGTATTTAGTACATTCCACACTAATGTTGTTGCACACATAAATTTTATCTGCTCAGTTTTGGATTCAACAGTTTATTATTTGTTGTTATGAATGTATGATTTGGAGAAAAGAGACTGCATTTATTTATTTGTAACATGTAGTGGCCCACATATTTCCAAAATTTAGTTTATTTTTTTGAAAGTTGCCTTTTAATAAAATTAATTTTACCAAAACATATTAAATAAAGTTGATTTTAGATTGCATAATGTGTTCAGTTCATATTGATTAAATCTATTTTTGATGGATAACATTATTTCATCTTTGCTTTTAAGGCCCGTTTCCTGCTTTCAAAAGTCAACCCTTCCCAGACTCATAATAATATGTATGCCTGGGGACAGGTAAGTGTAAATAGTGGATATTGGAAATTATTTCTTGTGTATTTATAGTTTGTTATTTTAGTGAGAGCTATATTTTCCCCTATGTATTTGCTAATGATTTCTTTTGGCAGAGTAATGAAAAAATGAGTAGAAAATAGAATTAGCATTTGGTGGCATCAGAGAAAATAAAAAGTGATCATATCAAATAGGTAGAATTCCTTCATATTCCTAGTTTAGGACTACGCCCTTGAGATAAAAAGCAATATAGTGTATAATATAGGGAGTGACGATTTAAGCTTAATGCTAGGACATGAACTATAAAAGGCCACATATAATAAATTGGAAGAGGTCAGGGATTGTAATTGAACAAGAGAGGCGGAGGCCTGGAAATCTCTGTTAATATATTTTGATTTGTTACAAGTCCTACCTCTTGGTACAATATATCAGCATTTATCAAGTATCCAATATACAGGACTCTGTATTCGTACTTTCCAGTCCATAATGATCATCCTTGCTTTTTTTTTTTCTTTTTAATGTTTCAACTTTTTAGTTTAAATTCTAGTTAGTTAACATATAGTGTAATATTGCTTTCAGAAGTAGAATTTAGTGATTCATCACTTTGATCATCTCTGCTTTTAAGGAGCTGGTAATCTAGCATTAGAGATAATATACGTATCTTTAAGTAATTAAAATATAAGTCAGTATGAGATATGTTCCTTTTAGAAAGATATTTAGAAAAATATTACAGGGTTTAGCAGAGGAAGAGGGCTTTGAAGAGAGCACATGGTGGCAGCAGGAGACTGTCTGTGATCAGAAAAGGCAACATTTCCTTTTAGAATGGTTACCATTTCAAGAAGTAGAAATTGTGTAAGGAATTCCAGGTAGAGGGCAGTGTAGACCGTGTGAGGTACAGAGCACACAGGATGAATAGAACAATAAACTGGAAATGTATCATGTGGCTAAATTGTGGAGGATCTTACATGCCAGGTTGAATGCTGAGGAGCTGAGTCTTTATTTAGTAAATAATAAAATGTTACTGAAGGTTTTTGGACAGGGTCAAATTTGAGTCTTAGATAATAGAGGTGAATGTTAGGGTTAATTGAGAGCAGTCTGTAGATTGAAACTATATTTTGAAGTAATCCAGATGAGGGGGAATGAAGGCAGGATGGTGAAAAGGAATATATTTTGGTGATATTTTAGGAGTGGAACCAGTGAGATTTGGTTAGAAGTTGCAGGAAAGTAAAAATTACTCTAGAGCAAGACAGCTAAATGCAAAATCTGAATTCTTTTTTTTTTTTTTTTTTTTTTTTTTTTTAGATTTTATTTATTTATTGGACATAGAGAGAGATCACAAGTAGGCAGAGAGTCAGGCAGAGAGAGAGGGGGAAGCAGGCTCTCTGCTGAGCAGAGAGCCCGATGCAGGGCTTGATCCCAGGACCCTGATATCATGACCTGAGCCGAAGGCAGAGGCTTAACACACTGAGCCACCCAGGCGCCCCCCAAATCTGAATTCTGATTGGACTCTGGATTAGAGAAAGTAACTATAAAGAACATAATTGGGATAACTTGTGAAATTTGAATATGGACTGTATATCAATTACTAGTACAATACTATCGTGTTTCTTGATTGTGATACTGTTGTTGTAGTTATATAGGTGATTGTCCATGACCTTGGAGATCTATCCTAAAGGGAGTAAAATATCATGATGTCTTCAACTTATGGAAATTACTCAACAAAAGAAAGAAAAGGAAACATATATAGAAACATAAAGCAAATGTGGCAAAATGTTAATCATTGAGTTTAGGTATAGGGTATGTGGGTGTTCATTGTACTTTTTTCTCAACTTTTCTACAAGTTTGAATTAAAAAAAAAAATAGTTGAGGGAGAACAAGGTAATATAGGATTTTGAGCCTGGGTAACTAGGAGAACGTGTGCCAGGGAGTGGGAAAGCAGAGAGAAATGTTTGATTTCAGGTACACTGAATTTGAGATAACATTTAGATGGCCAATTTGAGGAGGCTATTAGAAATTTGGGTTTGGTGATCAGGGCAAGGATGTGAAAATTGATCATGGACAAGTGATACTTAAAGTCATCACAGCGGGTACTTGTTCAAGAGGGAGTAGAGAGGCAAAAGAAGGATGAGATAAACCTTGAGGAATTACAAGTGGTTGGAGTATTTTATAAATAGAGAGGTGGAAGGAAAATGAAAATAATACCATACCATGGGGTGCCCGGGTGGCTCAGTTGTTAAGCGTCTGCCTTCAGCTTGGGTCATGATCCCAGCCCATGTAGGGCTCCCTGCTCGGCGGGAAGCCTGCTTCTCCCTCTAACACTCCCTATGCTTGTGTTTCCTCTTTGCTGTGTCTCTGTGTGTCAAATAGATAAATAAAATCTTAAAAGAAAAACAAAAAAGAATACCATACCATGTCATAATAGGTGAAGGAGGGCTTTATAGAAAGAAGAAAGGGGGTTAACAAATTCTGAGATGCTGCAGACCTTAAAGGAGGGTGAAGATTTAGAAAGGTGGATGGATTTGAAGACTAAACGGTCATTTGTAGTCCTGGTAAGCAGTTTTAAGTAGTAGTTGAGTACAAGGCAGATCATAAGGAATTAGTGGCGGTAAAGGAGTGGAGGTTGTAAGGAGGTTGCAATCTAGTTTGAGTTTGGGTGGTAGGATAGAAAGATGATTCTTACTAGGATAAGGGCACAGAACTTACTTGTAGTCCAAGTGTAAGGTGCTGACCAAAGAACAGCTTATAGATGTTTAAGATCTTCAAAAGCAGACAGTGTGATCACAAGCACTTTGTGGAGTTGAAGCATTGGTACGGAGGCAGGACATTCCTTCTACGGAACCAAATGGTGGGAAGGGTAATGACAGAGAAAGATGTTGGGGACAGAACGTTCATATTGGGTAATTGCCTGTTTCTTTTAGATAATAGTGGATTATTCATTAAGAGTGAGACATGGTAGGACTAAAGGACTAGAAAATAGAAAAGATCTAAAAACAGCTATATGGAATAGCTGTTTAGAAATAGAAATAGAAAGCAACAGCAGGCGAATAAAAGGCTTTTATAGCAGTGAGGGCCCATTTTATTTCCTAACAATTTCTAGAGTTTACTTCCATTGTGTTTAACCATGCTTTGTAGTTCAGGCATTGCATCAAAAGTGGAAGATTTTGGGGGTGATTTAGCATTGGAGATAAGAAAGATGGACACATTAAAGGGAGTGCAATAATTTAGAGCAATGTTAAATGACTGTGAGGTCCAGGTTGGGCAGAAGATGTAGTAATTAGGATTAAGGCCCCTTCCCTCTAAATACAGAGGTGCTTCAAAATGTTGCCCTGATTTCTTTGCATACATTGTTTTTCTGGGTGATTACATACACCCCTATGGCTTCAGCTTTCATCTGAGGCTAACTTAACAAATCTCCATCTTTGGTTTGACTTCACCTTGAGCTGTAGACTGGAATTTCTGTAACTGTCTGTTATACATCACTGGAGCTTCCTGTAGACATTTCATAAGCAACATGTTCCAACTTGAATTTATCTCTTTTATGCCATCTTATTCTGCGTGACTTTCCTATTTTTACAAAGGGCGACACTACTCTCTCAGTTCCCAAGACTTGGAACTTTAGTCATTTGCATTTTATTTTCTCCCTTCTATCCCTAATTATTCACAAATGGTTTGGTCTCTTTCTCCTATCCATTATCTCCTTTTTCTGTCACTAACTGAGGTCAAGCGCTTGTTACTTTTAACGTAGACTGTCAGTGCTTTTAGCCCTGTTTCTTCCATTTTGACAGTGGCCACAGTGGTCTGGAAGCAGTTCTAAGTCAAGAGAACTGTGTAGAAATCTTTAATCTTTGCGGCACCTGGGTGGCTCAGTTGGTTTCGTGTCTGACTGTTGGTTTCGGCTTAGGTCATGATCTCAGAGTCGTGAGATCAAGCCCTGGGTCGGGTTCTGTGCTCAGCGCAGTCTGCTGAAGATTCTCTTTCTCCCTCTGCCCCTCCCCCGGCTCATGTGCTTGCTCACTCTTAAATAAATAACATAAAATTAAAAAAAAAAAGGAATCTTTAATCTTTAATAATCCCCTTTGGAATTACATACAGACTCTTTATACTGCTTTTGAGAGTTCTTTATTGCATAATCCAAAGAAGTTTTCTCACTTTTAGCTACAATTTTAGAATTTCTTATTCTACTTTGAATACAGTAAGCATGTTAACATCTTTGTGACTCGTCCCTATCACCACATGGTAGCCATCATTTAAGGCTGAGTTCAGAGTTCATTGACTCCATGAAACTTTCTCTTTCTCTTTTTCTTTTTTCTTTTTTCAAAAGATATTTATTTGAGAGAGAGAGAGCACAAGCAGTGGGGAGGGGTAGAGGGAGAAGCAGACACCTTGCTCACCAGGGAGCCTGATGTGGAGCTCAATTCTAGGACCCTGGGATCATGACATGAGCCAAAGGCAGATGTTTAACTGACTGAGCCACCCAGGCACCATCCATGAAACTTTTTCGATGATTACATGACTCATTTGGTATAATATGCCTGCCCCTTCATTCCTTTTTTTTTCATCTGTTTCTGATGTCCCTAAGGAGTGATGACTGTGTCATTTTAATTTTTGACTTTCCACAGTGCCTTAACATAGCATGTATTGAGTATAGTAGATTTGGGCAGGAGAACAGAGATTAGAGTATGGGAGCTTTGTGGAGGTATTTAAGAGTTAAGGAGCCTTTATGGTATAGATAAAAAAAATTGAATCCATGATCTAAAACTCCTGAAAGGTAAGGTTTTTATAGCAAGGAAAGGAGCTTATTCTTGGGAAGTGTGGAAGGGGTATAGCATGTGAGAGAAAAAAATTATGCCTGTGTAATGCATATATGCATTATCAATATCAACCTCACCATTCCACTTGCTATGAAATGAAAAGTCGAGTATACTATTATGACATGGAAGTTTGGAATACAGAATGTACCATGAATCAGCCTTTCCATTATGGTTGAGTCATCTGGGCATTGGACTTAGTTCTGGATCTCACAACTTAAGAGAAACTTACTTAAGAAAAGAAAATTGCAAGAAGATAGGAAAGTAGGACCAATTACTAAAGTTCATGGAAATGGTGATTAGTCATAATGAAGAAGGGGAAGTTAAAGGACGCTTTAAAATAGTATTCATCAGGGGTTCCCTATCAACTGCCCTTAGAGGCCAGGGCAGTAGCAAATGGTTGAAGTTCTTTTTAGAAAATCTTATACTCTCAGTGTGAAGAGGCAATACTTGGGGGTCAGGGGTGGACTAGGGTTTGTAGGAAAAACACAGGTACCCTTTTTTAGAAGGGGTAGCTGTTTCTCCCCTCTAGCTGATTGTTGTCATTTACATAATTTGTTTTAACAAAGTGTTGTGAGCCCACATTAATGCAGACCAAATAAAATACATCTTTGTGGCTGAATTTGTACATTATTAAAAAGCATGGTTTAGTTCATGGAAATAAAACTTGGTTCTTGCTTCTCTGGGTTTAAATTACAACATGGGGGTGCCTGGTTGGCTCAGTCAGTAAGCTTGTGACTCTTGATCTCGGGTTGTGAGTTCAAGCCCCATATTGGGTTTGGGGCCTATTAAAAAAAAATTATAACATGGAGATGTAGTTGGTATGTTTATAAAGAACTTGTTGAGCTGGTAAACCTGGAGAGGCATCATTCTGGGCTGGTAGTTGAAAACTATGTTACTTATCGTTGCTTTTTCTTCTTTGTCTATTATAGAGTTTAATAATATGTGCAGTAAGACTAAGTAAATATTAGGTATTAGTTTTCCTTGTTATCAATGGGGAAAAATAAGTCTTAAGATATTTTATTTTTATTTTTAATAATTTTTTAAAAAGATTTATTTATTTATTTGACAGAAAGAGACATAGAGAGAGAGGGAACACAAGCAGGGAGAGTGGGAGGGGGAGAAGCAGACTTCCTGCCAAGCAGAGAGCTGGATGTGGGGTTCGATCCCAGGACCCTGGGATCTTGACCTGAGCCGAAGGCAGACGCTTAACAACTGAGCCACCCAGATGCCCCAAGATATTTTATTTTTAAAGATTTATTTGTTTATTTTAGAGAGAAGGGGAGAGGATCTCAAGCATACTCCCCGATGAGTGTGGAGCCCGATATAGGACTCAATCCCATAACCCCTGAGATCATGACCTGAGGTGAAATCAAGAGTTGGTTGCCTAACTGACTGAGCCACCTGGGTGCCCCAAAGATATTTTAAAATAGGAAAGAAAACCTATTTTAAACTTTGAAGTTTAATTATTATGACCTGTAAGTAGAGGCATTAGAGGCATAAATGAGAGCCCTAAGGTCTTTATTGGCCTATGCTTTTTGTAAGAGAAATTATGTTAATATTTATTTACTTATTTATTTGACAGAGAGAGACAGCGAGAGAGGGAGCACAAGCAATGGGGGAGTAGGAGAGGGAGAAGCAGACTCCCCACTGAGCAAGGAGCCTGATGTGGGGCTGGATCCCAGGAGTCTGGGATCATGACCTGAGCCGAAGGCAGATGCTTAACAACTGAGCCACCCAGACGCCCCAGTGTTAGTATTTTTATAGATAATAATAATAATAACTGATAAACTGAATGTTTTAGTTCCCATGCTGAGCTTCTTATGCACTTCTGTTTAATCATTAAAACACTCTCATGGGGTGGTAACTATTAACTCTATTTTTCAGAAGAGGAAATTAGGCTTAAATAGCGTAAATAACTTATCCAAGATCACATAGCTAAACCGTGCAGGGTCTGGACTTGACTATAGGCCATCTGACTGGAGAATATGAATTCTTAATCATTAAGCTAAATTGATGATTGAAATTTAGGGAGTTAACTTGGTAGCCAAGCATTTTACTAAAAATTATACAATCTTGCACTTTAGTTTTCTTTTTGTCAGAAATCAAGTACCCAGTGGTAAGTTTTATCCATAGATGGCCTGAAGAGGGCACCACTGCAACACTGCTTCCCCACTGCTGCTGTTCTTCATACACTGAGTGATAGAAAAGCTTGGATCTTACTGCCCAATCATGGGTATAGTTGAAGAAGAGAAAAGGTGCAGTTGAAAAATTAAGATCAGCTGCAAATTTTTTATAAGTTTGAGTTGAGCATTAATATTTGTAATTTCAAATAAGATCTCATACAGTATATAAATTAGAAAATTGATGTGTATTTTGTCTTGACTGGTTGAAATAGATCTGGGATTTGGTGAATTGAGGTGGAAAATGTGTAAATTGAAAGAAAATCAGGAATAGTTACAAAAAAAAAAGGAAGAGCTACCAGCTTATTATTAGTCTAGGTCATATTTTTGAGGCCTTTGCTTCTCTGTGTTAACTGTGAATGTATAATAAGGAAAAATATTTCAGTGTTATAATATATTTCTCAGAAGAGGTAATAATAGCTCACACATGTTTATTCCTGCTGTGTATGTCAGGTATTGTGCTGTTTCTTTACACAGTTGAACTCATTTAATCATTATAACATCCATATGAAATAGGTCCTTTTGTTATCCTTATTTTACAAATGAGGAAACTCAGACACACGGAGGTTATGTAACTTCTCTTCCTCAAAGTCATACAGGCAGTAAGTGGCTGAGTAAAGAATTGAGCTGATGCACTCTGTCTCCAAACTCCAAATTCTTATTCCCAGTGCTGTTGTCTCCCTTCATTGTCCAGTTTTTCAAGTTTTTTGAATTTGAAAAAACATAATAAAATTGATTTTCCTTTATTCAGGAGAGGTTATGGCACGTCTGTGGCAATACCAGACTAGAATTTTCGAAAGATATAAATCCCAGTCTCCTATTTGTTACGTAGTTGCTGATCTCTGAAAATTACTTATTTGTTTTAGATTTTTTATATTTACTTATAAATGAGAACTTGAGTATCAGGTGAAAAATTTAAAAATCCACATAGAAAATCTTTCAGAAAACTTTTTTCTTGCTACAATAGATTTCACTATTAGTGGTTTGGATTACCAAAGTCATCCTACCAACATAGTTTTTATTAAAATAGAAGTTAGGAATTTTCCTTAACTCTTGTTAATTACTTAGAACCTACAGAGATCAATTAAAATGACTTGAATGAAAATGATAAGCATAGTTTATTTATTTTTTTAAAAGATTTTATTTATTTATTTGAGAGAGAGAGAAAGCACGAGAAAGGGGAGGGCCAGAGAGAGAAGCAGACTTCCTACTGAGCAGGGAGACTGATGTGGAACTCGATGCAGGACTCCAGGATCATGTCCTGAGCTGAAGGCAGTCGCTTAACCAACTGAACCACCCAGGTGCCCAGCATAGTTTATTTAAAAAATACTGTAAATATGCTTCCTTCCAGCTGGCATGTCTGTTAAAATATGTGCAATTTCTTTGTTTTTATTTTTTTTTAAAGATTTTATTTATTTGAGAGAGAGCATATGAACAGGAGGAGAAACAATGGGGCGGGGGAGAGGGAGAAAGAATCTCTTAAACAGATTCCTCACTGAGCACAGAACCGGACATGGGGCTCAATGCCGAGACTCAGGAGACCATGACCTGGGTGGAAACCACTCAGAGAGTTCAAGAGAATTCAAGAGTCAAATGCTCAATCGACTGAGCCACACAGGCACCCCAAAATATGTGCAATTTCAATTTTACTTAGTAGTCAGGCAGCAGTAATCTCACCAAGACATGTATTTACTCCTTAGTAGTGATAAAGCTCCAATATATTCAAGACAAATGAACACTTTACTACTGTAAAGATTAAATTGGTTACATAGCTATTCCGATTCTGTAGTGCAAATCTGGTGGTGACCCCTTGGGGCCGTGCACGCTCCACAGGTTAATGGACATGGTTCACAGCAAACCTGTCCCCAACTTCAGATGCCAGCTGCAAGTGGGATCCCTGCACTTCTGACCAACTAGCTACAAATTGTGTGTGTGTGTGTTTGGGGGTTATTAGTGCTCCCCACACTTCCCCCCACCTCATGTTTGACAACTCCCTAGAACAACTCACAGAAGCACTGTATTTATGATCACAGTTTTATTACAAAGATTGCAAATAAAGACCAGCAAAGAGATCGCACAGAATGAGATCTAGGAGGGCTCCAGATACAGAGCTTCTGTGTTCTTTCTCCACGGAATGAGAATGTGTTATCCTCCTAGCATACTGATGAATCTGTTAGATAGGAAGCTCCACTGAGCATTGGTATCCAGAGTTTGTTCCTTTACTACCAAGCCTGATTGATTGAATCTCCAGTTCCCTTCCTCTTCTTTTCCTTCCCTTGACCTCACTTTCCCTCCCTAAAGGTCAGGCTATCTTAAGTCCCCAGCCCTTTGATCACATGTTGATCTTTCTGGTGACTGGCCCCCATCCTGATTCATCTCATCTTAAAGCCTGAACTCAGGTGTGATCGGAGGGGCTCATGAATAATAAGACACTATTAGGACATTCCAAGGATGTAGAGACTTTCTCAGAAGAGCCAGGGGCAAAGGCCAGTCAGATTATTTTTACAATAGGAGCATGGGCATTAGTTTGCTTACAATGATTCCTTGTCTGTTGCAAACATTTGCTTTTACATTTTAAGGGACGTTTTAATCATAGCAAGTATCTTTCTTTTCCTCTAGGAGTCTGGAGCACCTATTCTTACAGATGATGTTAGTTTACAAGTGTTTATGGATCACTTGAAGAAACTTGCTGTGTCAAGTGCTGCTTGAAGTGCTAAACATATTAAGGACACTTAAGAGGATGAAATAATATTTCAATTTCCTTTTTTTCCTTTTTCATTTTATCTGTGGAAACCAACAGAGGTATCTCTCTAGACTCTATGGTTTAAGACAACATGTGGAAAAATGTTCACATTTGTAGATTAAGCTGGAATATAAGAGCAATAAGAATAAATTTATTTTGCTTGCCACAGTATTATGACTGGGTTTAGAAATCTGAGATCTTTATAACTTAATTATGTTAAAGAGTAAAAATAGAGTTGGCCTTGTACTACAGAGATAGAACTCATTTGTGTATTGCAGAAAAATCCAAAGTGGCACTGAATGTCCTTGCTGATTTTTTGAAAACTTGTTTCTTGGTTTTAACCAGAAAGTAAACAAAATCATCAACAGTAATGATAAATGCGAACATTTTTGCCTGTTTATTGAAATATATCTGTGATTTTCAAGCACTTATGCATATACTTTTTCTGTACTTATTCTGTTAAGGCAGATTTATTTTTATGATGATTTGTTTAGGAATTATTTGACTTTATATAAGGTAATTTTCATGAAGATAATTTAATGTTTTTGGTCATTTGGAAAAATAGTTTAGAGATGAAAAGATGAAAAGTTTCTGGGGTAACAGTTCCATAACTGACAAAAAATGTGGAATTCCCATAAAGTACCCAACTTACATGATTAAACATGATAATTTTTTAAAGAAGGGTGATTGAAAATAAACCATTTTGTCATAATGCATTTTAGGAAGTCTGCAGTAAAATAACTGTTGTCACTACTAAACCAAAATTGATTTTTACTGCATGGTTATGTTGTTTCCCCTTGTTTTTCTGAGGTAAATTTTACATTATATCCTACAGTATTTTAACACTATTTTGGGAGTTTACATATTACTTCTTATTTTTGCTTCCATTTTGTGAAATGTGTTAAGTTGTTCTCATTGAAACAGTATTATATTTTGTTGAATGATATCATGTGATGCTCAGTTTTATTTTGATTTATTCATTAGTATCATTCACTTTTACCTTTTAAAGTTTACTTGTAGCAAATGTTTACATTGCTAAAGCCAGATGTTTGACAATGAAATTTATATCAAGTACTGCAAATAAAAGGTGGTGCTATGATAAATGCTTAGAAGGACAGTTTGATGATTGTACTTGCATGAACACAATCATATGATAAAACAGAAACTTAAAAAAATGTTTATATATTATATTCAATTAAATAAATTGCTCTGTTCCATTTTATTTGATTTGAACTCTGCTAGGCCTAAATACCAATAAAATATAATTTTTCTGTGTTTTCCTGCTTATTTCGAAGTCTAGTAAAGCCTGAGAAGCCTAATGTGGAATTAGAGCAGTTATAAAACCTGCTATGAATAGATTACAAAGTGTTCATTTTTTTTTAAATGGCAGCTTTATTGAGATATAATTCACATACCACATAGTTCACCCATTTAAAGTGTACAGCTCAGTCGTTTTTGGAACACTCAGAGTTGTGTGATCATCACCACAATCAATTTTAGAGCATTTTTATCTTCCCCAAAGTAGTTGTTTTTGCTATAAGGAAATTGTGTTTTGGAGTTAGCATATTTTGAATTGAATTAAGCCCCCGTGATGGTGATACATGTTTAATTTGCGTGGCCCCTTAATTTACGCTCTTTAAGAACACATTGCTATTCTTGAGTGATAAGTCAGTACTTGCCCCCACACTGTGCTTTCCTTGCAAATCAATTACAGCTGAAGCTGCTAAAGTACCTCTGTATTTAAGGATAAGGAGGAACAAATAGAGCATCATACCCTTTTAACTTACCCTTTGAAAGAAAGCACCTGAGATCTTTGTGTATAATTTAGCTATTACTAAATTGCTAACTATTTAGATTGTTGAAGAAAGAAATGTTTAACCCTTTTAATGAAATTTAGAGTGGATAAAGAATATTTGCTAAATTGTTAGCGGCCCTGAGAAGCTTTGGTATGTCCACAACTATTTTGGAATTCACTGTTGAACCTACTACCCCTAGTGGCCTTATTTCTAAAAGCAACTTTAGACGTCATCTGTGTACACTTATATTTTGTTATAACAAGATAAAATTATTCTTTTATTGGCTGATTCCAAAAGTGAGCTGATATTTTCTCTATCCAGTGCCCTACTTGATAAACTTCCCTCTTACATTCCCTAACCCATGGACTGCACTTAATGAATGCTTCTTGTTCTGTCCAGGCCAGAAACCACTGAATCATTTTCAGTTCTTACTCTTTACAACATCTTTAATGACCAGACTCTACCAGTTCTGCCTCTCTAACATCTCCCTGTTGTATTTGCTGTTTTTAATTTTACTGCTCTTCTACCTTCATCAGATCGCACGTGGTTGGTACAACAGCCTTCTAACCAGTGTGTTTTCCCCAGTCTCCTCCAGCCCTCTCTTCAATTCACTGAAATACAGATCTGATTATGTCATTCCCTTTGCCCTCATAGTGAAATCCAGACACTTTGACATGGTAGCATTGGATACTACCAAATCAATCGGATCTTCGATCTCACTTAGAAAATTAGCACAAAGGACACAGTTGAAAAGGTATAGTATTGGAGAGGGGTCTCTAGTTCTACCTAAGCATTAGTCTTAGGTGTGGCATTTGGGATTTAATACAGTGAAAAAAGCAAATGCATTCTTCACTGGCTGTTACAAATTAAATGCTGTGGCTTATTGCACTTGATTTTATTTTATTTTATTTATTTATTTATTTATTTATTTTTAAAGATTTTATTTATTTACTTGATAGAGATCACAAGTAGATGGAGAGTCAGGCAGAGAGAGAGAGAGAGAGAGAGAGGGAAGCAGGCTTCTTGCTGAGCAGAGAGCCCGATGCGGGACTCGATCCCAGGACCCTGAGATCATGACCTGAGCTGAAGGCAGCAGCTTAACCCACTGAGCCACTCAGGCGCCCCTTGATTTTATTTTAAATGAAAATAATTATTCAGTTACTTTTCAAACACTACCAACAAATTAGGATTATTTGCTTTCTAATCCCTATATTTGCATTTTTATTTTCATTTTCCATTTTTCCAATATATATGCATACATTTTGTACTTTTATGTGTTTGATTTGTATTCATCTTGAGCATTTTATCAGGTAATTCAGATGTTTCTCTTGTTTGCTTTTTAATAGCTTACCTTATGAAATTAAAACATTTTCCTTATGTTCATTCTTCCATTCTTTAATAGGGAAACAAACTTTGGTCTAGGCTTAGTATATTAATACCTGGTGAATATAATAATCGGTATGCAATACTAGATATGGAATAATGAAGTCACATTACTAAATAAATTCAGAATTTTTTTCTTCCCCATCTATGGATTATACTGACATAAAGCCCAATTATTTGGGTTGCGAATGTGACACTGGGGAAGTTTTTCCTCTAAGGAAACATTAAAAAAGCCCCAAAAAACTAAAATGTCTAAGCATTTGAAAGAAGTGTTAATTTTAGACTTTGTTAAATCAACATAGAATTAGCTATGTATTTTTGTCTTTTTATTATTACATTTTTTTTTTAAGATTTTATTTATCAGAGAGAGAGAACACAGCAGGGGGAGTGGCAAGCAGAGGGAAAAGGAGGCTCCCCACTGGGCAGGGAGCCCAATGCGGGACTCCATCTCGGGACTCTGGGATCATGACCTGAGCAGAAGGCAGACACTTAACTAAGCCACCCAGGTGCCCCTAGCTTTTTTTTTTTTTTTAAGATTTTATTTATTTGACAGACAACCAGAGAGGGAACGCAAGCAGGGGGACTGGGAGAGGGAGAAGCAAGCTTCCACAGAATAGGGAGCCGGACATTGGGCTCGATCCCAGTACCCTGGGCAGATGCTTAATGATTGAGCCATCCAGGCGCCCTCCTAGCTATGTATTTTTAAAAGTTAAGGATAACAAAGATCAAACCGGGATATAAAACTTTCAGACCTGAATATATAACTTCCAAACCTGTGGAGGAAAAGAAGCGATAAAAGCAATCTCATAAAAAAAAAAAAAAGCAAAAAAGGTGAAAAAGGCAGCAAAAGAAAAGCATGGTAAATAAGAGACATAAAAAAGAAAAAATGAGGGGTGCCCAAATGGCTCAGTCGTTAAGCATCTGCTTTCAGCTTAGGTCATGATCCCAGGGTCTGGGATCGAACCCCACATTGAGCTCTTTGCTTGGCGGGAAGCTCGCTTCTCCCTCTCCCACTCCCCCTGCTTGTGTTCCTGCTCTCACTTCTCTCTCTCTGTCAAACAAAGAAAATCTTAAAAAAAAACACCCGAATTAATACTTTTTATTTATTTTTAAAGATTTTATTTGTCAGAGAGAGAGAGAAAGAGAGAGACAGCATGTGCACAAGCAGGCAGAGAGGCAGGCAGAGGCAGAGAGAAGCAGGCTCCCTGTGGGACTAGATCACAGGACCCTGGGATCATGACCTGAGCCAAAGGCAGCTGCTTAACCGATTGAGCCACCCAGGCATCCTGGATTAATACTTTTTTAAGTGTATTTTATGGAAATTGAGAATATTTAATGGTCTTTCACTGTAATGAACAAAATCATATGTAGTATTTTGAACCTTCTGTAAATTTGTCTTAAGATTTCATAAAAATTGATCTGTTCATGTATCCATGCTTTACTGAGTATAGTCAGACTTGTCCGTCTTTTTTCACAGTTGATTGTGAAGAATACATTTCAAAAGCTTTTTTTTCATTTGAAGCAAAAGATACACAAATAGGAAAATGCTCAAAGGTAGGTTTGATATATTCATAAACTATTTTCACAAATTTCATGAATTCCTAAATTCTTAAAACTTTCTTCAAAACTGATGCTAGCGGCTTTCAAAAAGCTTCTTAATAGAAAGATTTCCACTGCGATATATAAACTAGACAATTCAAGATAAATTCCTATTATGTTTGATAAAACCCTCCAAAGTCTTGCAAAAATGAGTGCAAATGGCTGAATGATGGTGCACATTGGCATTATTTGATCAATTGGTTTTGAAAAAATGTTCAGTTATAGATCAAGACATTTGAATATTGCTGTTTTAATTTCTTCTGGCCATGTAAAACAAACATCTTATGTTACTTTACATGCGTTCTTTGAAATTTGATTCTTCAGTGTAAATGTCTATTCCCTTACATTTTGTTATTGCATATTTAATTGCCATCTCTACAGTTTCTATGTGCTGATCTAAAGCTTAGTGTCTTACTATACATTTACAAGCCTGATTTAGACTGCATCTACTTTGAGTTTTGATTAACCTCATCTAAAACTTTACACCAAGAGAAATCTCTAAATTTTGCCACTGATTTAATGGTTTATTTTCCTGTTGGTCTTTTAGTTTAAAAAAAAAAAAAAACAACCAGCAG